TTGTTTTTTCCCTTAATATATTTGATTATCAAATCAAACCCTACTAATTCCTCAGTTTATCTAATCAATCTTTGATTATTCAAGATTTTAGTAATAATAAAAGTTCGAAGATTTATATAATCGATATAAATGATTATTAAGAATTTAATCTTTTGGAGATAGATCTTTTAATATTTTAATATTTTTATAATAATTATAAATTCCTTTTTATAAATATTATAATTCTGTTTTGTTTTATTCATTTTATTTGAATAATAAATGATAGAGTATAATTTCCTATTATCGTTTCTTTATAAATAGATTTCTGTTATACAGATATCAAAGATATCTATTTCGATAATACTTTCTTGATTATTATAATAATTATAAAGGATAAATTCTCTTGTAAATCTATCCTTGATTTCCCGGAAAATCTATTTCACTTTTTCATTTTATATAAAAGTTATTCTTTTTTTGATTATTTCGATAAAAGGTTTTATTATTTTCGAAAAATCTTTTATAAATATTCAATAGAAATTGACAAATCCTAATATAGATTATATATCCTTGATATTTCTGGATTGTTTTCAATTCCTTATTTTCTTTGTTTTCTTAAAATCTATATTTATTTATTCTAATTAAATAATATATCCTAGAAATATTATTTTTCATACTTTAAACTTGTACTTCGATAATTTGAATCTTGAATCTATTTTTCTAAATACTTTGAATATTTTTAATATATATCTTTCATATTCTTTCTTTTTCTAAAAGAAAATTAAAATATTATCCAAATAACAGATTACAAATGAATTGAATTTCTTGAATATCTTGTTATTTTATTATTGATATATAACTAATATATTAATTAACCTAAATGATATAATTATATATTTCTATAAACCCAATGATAGAATAAAGGTTATCTTTCATTTGTAATTTTCTTTTATTTATATCAGATTGAAAATGTTTCTTTGATCTAATTTTGTATAGATCATAGTTTTATTCAATTTATTCTTAAATTCCTGGGTTTTTGATATTGAATATATATCTCTAATTATTCTATCGTTAATTCGATAATAATTTCTATAAAGTTGATCGTTTAGATCGTTTTTTTTAAATACCAATAATATATTGGATATACAAAAGAACTTGGATTTCCTAATCTATTCTTTCTTTTCAATCTTGATTCTATATTCTTTCTATATCTATATAATATTAGAATTATATAATCTCAACTTTTCAACAAAGAATACAAATCCCTTTTTGAAATTGATCTTATAATCCCAAAGTTTATATTTTGATAAGGTTTTCAAATCTTAAAGGTTTTCGAAGAGTTTAACAAATCTTTTATATTATACTAGAATTTCTTTTTCATTGATTTTATCGATTAATAAAGAATCTATTATTATTATAATATAATATCTGATCTCTTAAAAAGTTTATTCTTTTGGATCATATAATCATTTGTTATTATAATTATAATAATCAAATATTAAGATATCTTTTATTCAATCGATATTTGAATTATATTTCTTAATCTATAAGATATTAAGAACAATTGTATATCTATTTAATAGTATTAAATCCATTTTGATTTATTTGATATATCTATCTAATATAATCATTTTGATAATATTAGTTTTTTTATATATTCAATTATCAATTCTAGCTTTCTTTTCTTTTAATAATATCAATTGATAAAGATTCTATTTTAATTCTATAGGAATTCTATTTTCTTTTGTAAAGTTGAGATCTATAAATATATCTATAATTTTGAAATCAATCAAAACATTGGTTTATTGATTCTTTAATTTGATTTTTATAATTAATTATTTGATTTTTATAATATCATTTAATTCTAATAATAATAATTCGATGATTTGTTTTTTGATAAAGAGATTCAATCATTTATATTAGTATTCGTTTATATTTAATAATTGATAAAATATAATAAATAATAATTCTATTGATTCTATTTGGAAATCTTGATAATAATTATAGTTTGATACTTCTTTGTTATCTTTATCGATTTTTCATTAAATATAATAAATCCTAACTTGTAATAGAATCTTTTATATTTCTTCAATTTTTAGATTATATTTATTATATTTCTATATTTTATTAAAGAATAAAAAATCTATATCCATAATATATCTTCTGATATCATTTGTTTTAATATTTTCTTTAAATATTATATAATAAATATTATCATATATTATTATATAAAATATTAATAAAATAAGATAATTATAGATTTTATATTTCTTAATGAAATCAGATTTCTTTTTTCTATAATAATATCATATTCGTTTCTTATTTAAATAATTGATTAAATATTATAATTCATTTTTCCAAAGTAAATAATAAAATTCAATTGTTTATTGATCCTTTTCGAATTCTTTGATTGGTTTTCATTTTTAATTCGAAATCTTTTGAAGATTTTTTTTTATAATCGATATTGTTTTCAATACTAATTTTAAAGTTTTGATTATTGATATCTAATTTCTTTAATTATTTAGAATTGAATTGAAATAGATCTTTTTCCAATAATTCTATTTCTTTCGAGTTTCTTTTTAAGATTCTTGTTTCTCAAGAATCTTATTTTCTGTTTTTAAATTTCATTTGTTTTTTGTTTCTTATAATAAATGGTTTTTTCTAAAATAATTTCGGAATATATATCCATTTTTTCTATAAATATAATATAAATTATTCTTTCTATATCTTTTCTTTTTATTAATACTTAAATTGTTTAGTTTCATATAACATTGTTCAATATTATTTAATTCTATTAAATCATTGATATTATAATACTTGTTCTGATGATAAGATCTTTGGAACTTTTTATTTTTCTAAATAATTTCTTTTTTCTTTATTTGTCTTTTATAAAATCAATTATCAATGAAAATAAAAGTTTCGATTAATTTGAAAAGATTAAATGGTTTCGAAGTTTTTGTTAATTTATTTTTAATAATATCTTTCAATTCTTTATAGAATTATAATTTTAGATAATTATTATTCTATATAATATATTCAATATATTATTGAAACTTGATAATATAGATTATAATTAATCTGATTTATCTGAATTATCATAATATTCTTTTAATTATATAATCGAAATCTATTTCCTTAAATGTTTTATTAAATCTCTATTGAAATAATTTATAATTGAAAAAGAAACAATAAATTTCAGATTTTATATTTTCATTTAATTAATTATTAATAATTTTGGTTATTAAATTGTTAAAAAACGATTTAATTCAATTGAATATAATTTCTTGGAAAAAGGAGATCAATTATAAAATTCTTTGTATAAAAATCAAGAAAAATTATTTATTAAAGATATAATAAAGATCAATTTGTATAACAAAAACTCAATATTTATTATAATCTTTATAGAATAAATCAAAGATAGATATCTGAATTGTTTATCTGTATTTCATAATAATAACAATCTAAACAAAAGCTTTGATTGGATTGAATGAAGATAATTCGATAGATTATTGATTGGAAATTATTATATTGTATATAGTTTAATTATAACGATACTCAAAGTATAATGATCTGATCGAGATAATAGCTACCTTAGATTTCGTATAATTGATAATTATAGATTAAGATTAATAATTATTGATTATCTATTCGAAAATAAATATATTATTAGATTAATTAGAATATAAATAAATTAATTAATAATTAAATTGAATATAAAGTTTTTAAACTATAAAACTATTCTAATTATATACTAATGAATATAAAAAAGCTTTATAGAATTCTAAAACTTCAAAAAGCTTTTGAAGTTTTAGAAGCTTTTGAAATTTCCAAAACTCCTTATTATATAATTAGGATCAGATTATATATCCAAACTTATTAAAGATGAAAAGATCACATAAGGCGATTACTATACAGATTTGTATACGAATCGCCTTGCTTTTCGATAAGGCCTAAGCTCATATGGACACATTGACTGCTGCCCCTCAACATATCCTTATCTTTATCGTAAATCGTGACACCGGTGTCTCGATTAGATTGTTACAATTGTCTCGAAACATCAGAGGTCCGGGGGGCGCAGACCCCTGATATATTTTTATATATTATTTCTCTTGAAATTATTTATGTATTTTAGAATTATACTATCTATAATATTTAAATATTAAATATTATTATAAATAATATAATTACAAAATATATAAACAATCTTAATAAAAATAATATATAAGAGTATATAAAATTATATTAAAATAAATAAATTTGTTTTTGATTTTATTAATTAAAAGTTTTATATATATAAGATTTAATCTATTATTTAATCAATGATTACTTTGATAAAGAAATAAACTAAATAAATAAAATCTTATAAAGAGTAATAAGATTAATATAATTATATAATATAGATTAAATATAAGAAAAATATAAATAAGTGAATATTATAATATTAAAAATCATATAAAAGTATATAAAAGTATATAATTTTTATAATAAATATATATTAAAGTATAAATAAAATATTAATTTATTTTTGATAACTGAAAATTAAATTTTTATTTAAAATAATAATTATAATATTTATAATAATATTATAAATATTATTATTATTATTATAAACTAAATAAGATGAATTGAATAAATAAAATTGAATTAGATGATTTCAGAATTGAATGATTTTAATAAAGTTAAATGATTTCAATAAAGTTAAATCATTTTAATAAAGTTGAATAATTTCAATTAAATTGTAAATTAAATTGAATGATTTTAATAGAATTGAGTTGAAAAAAGCTATAATTTAGATTTGTTTGAAGATTATAAGGCTTATATCAAGTTTTTTATTAGATTATTTACCGGGGTATTTTAGACCAATTAGATTATTAGGATCGCAACTCATTTAAGCGAGTTTCTCATTTTCTATCACCCACCGGGTAAACCTCATGTACAGCAAGGCTATAGTGTCGGCAAGCCGACAATAATCATAAAGAATTATTATAATTCTTTCAGAAACCACTTACTCTCTTTATCAATAATCCTGTACAAATCCTCATCAAAAGTCTTATACCTATCCTCCTACCCCAGAAACCACCTTACCAATTTAAAACCGTTAGCACATTCCTACTTCCCACCCACAGAGCAACCACCCTCCTACCAACCTAAAGCCATCAACAGGCCCTACTTCCCATCCCCAATCTTCCCACTCATTCTCGTCCTCTTATACCCTCCCTCAGGTAACCAAACCCTTTCCAAAACCCACTCCCTTCCCGAGAAGCCCCTCTCCCTCTCCTCAAAAAAGGGTCTAAAAACTCCATCCACAATAGACGTCGGACTCATCCTCCCCTCTTCAACCACATCTCCCCCAACAATAGGAGCTCCTACTAAAATCCCCACAGGCTCCATAACTTGCTCGAACATTTTAACAATACACTGACTAGCACTTTTCGAAGCGCAAAGAGCGGCAATATTCGGATCCGGGTATTTATCTAGTAAGCCGCCTGGGACGAGGAAGAGTGGGTTTTCACCTTCAGGGATATAGGATTTGTTAGCGTGGTTTAGGAACCATTGTCTGTGGAGATGGGGAATTAGTATTTTGCTCTTACATCATAGTATAATTATACGCTAGCTCATCTGATCTATTTTGATGATTCAACAACTAACAACGATACAAATCCTATGAATGAATGAATGAATGAATGAATGAATGAATGAATCAATATATACATACCCAGCAACCAAAGTCCCCGTAGCCGAAACATTAAAATCTTTCACAAGAATCTCTGGTTTCAAATCCAACAACGGACTCGGAGCAACTCGTGCAGCATTATAGCAAAGAACATCAATTTTATCTCCTATCTGTTCAGTAGCCCAATCAAGTGCTTCGATAAGAGAAGAGGGAATTGAAGCGTCGCCTGTGTGAATGAGAGCTTTGGGGGCTTCTGGGTATAGAGTGTTTATTTCGTGGGAGTAGGTGAGGAGAGATGAATGGTTGCGTGAGATGAGGATTATTTGCCAGTTTTGGGAGGCGAGGTAGAGGGAGAGACTGCGGGACATGAGGGGACCAGAGCCGATGATTATTATGGTGCGGGGTTTTAGAGAGGTCATTTTGTGGGGGGTTTGTGAGTCTGTAGTTGATTTTGTTGTGTTGGGTAGATTAATTTATCAAATGTTGTTTTCCTTTTGCATACTAGAAAATATTAAAGAGCAATTGAAACAACAGGTTACCTAGATGTTAGGAATGTGGTATATACAAAAAGAGGGGTGAGTGCGGGGTAAATTCTGAATTCAATGTTTTGAAGCATATATATATTATTGGATTAAGTGAAAACAAAAAACAAGGCTAAGTCACGTCGCATATACGCCATACGGGACGCTACGGGAGATCACCCTATAATCAAGGTTTTCGCCAATAGCAACAATAACAATAATGACAAACGTGACTATCGTTGCATATACGAGGAGGAGAGGAGAGTAGGGAATACGCCCCTTATGTCACGCTGGGCAAACAGGGCCTATTAACTAATCCGAAATCTAACAGGAGACCTACAAAATATCATCTTCAGATTTGTGTTTATTACGGATTGTAAGTAATTGAGATAATTGGTTCTTATCATAGACAGTTCGGATATCTTCCGGAGGACTACAGGTTGTTTGTTTATTTATAAAAAAAAATTTATACAACCTATATTGTATATATCATTGGCTTATAATATGGTCTACATAGCCTTAGTTATATTTAGATCAAATCGATTATGAATTTACTACTATTACTATATTATTAGATGATTGAAATAGATGAAAGAGTTTTATGGGATACTTATGGCATGTATGAATTCATCTGATTAATCAATCTACAGTTCTATTTGAGCAATAGGATTTTGGGAAGGAGTTGAGCTGCATGACTTGTCAACACCATGCCCGTCGTCTTGCAGTAGAAGATCGTGGCTGTGAGACATCAAAAGCATATTGAGCAAAATAAGTCTTATCTAGGTACTGAATTTCAATAAGACAGTAGAAACCAAACACAAGATGCGAATTAATCCAGATTTCATCTCATAAGAAAACAAGGAATAGTTAGCTAATTATACAAAATCTAAAATATAAGATTGAATTTGAATTATTTCTTTCTAGGAGAGTAAGTATACTATTTATTACAAGCAATACGAGGAACAGACAAAGTAATCAAGGAGACAAAACCAGGAGGATATCTCTCTTTTCCACTGATCCATCTTGAATTAATCACTGCAGATATCAATATCACGGGTATGCTACATGTTACCGAGTTCCGGTAAATATAATCATGAATTCATACTTCTAGTTGGGATCAATCTAACCCCCAATTTCCAAATTCAATATCTGAGATTCGTATATACTCCTCTTAAGCTTTTCTATCCTCAACACTCTCTTATCTAAGTATATATAGTGCAGCTTCTTTCCTTTCTCTTGTCTCAATTGTTTATATTTTTATTATTGTCGGCTTGCCGACACCATAACCTTGCTGTATATGAGGTTTACCCGATGGGTAATTGTCGGTACATCATGTGATCAACCTCGAAAGGGAGGCCGTACACAAAGGGGCCCGTACCTCTTTCAATATAAAGAGGTCCCTCTCCCCTAGATATATAATAATCATCGATACAAAATACAACAATAATACAGTTGTATTGCAATAAGTATTATCGAAGTGATATCAACAATAATAGAAAATAAGAAACTCGCTGTCACGATTTACGATTAAGATAAGGATATGTTGAGGGGCAGCAGTCAACGTGTCCATATGAGTTTAGGCCTTATCGAAAAGTAAGGCGATTCGTATATAAATTTGTATGGTAATCGCCTTATGTGGTCTCCCTACCTTTAGTAAGCTCGGACATATAGTCTGATTCTAATCATGTGATAAGGAGTTCTAGGAGCTTCGAAAGCTCCTAGAGCTCTAAGAGCTTTTTGGAGCTTTAGAGTTCTATAAAGTTCCTTTATATTCATTAGTATATAGTCAGAATAGTTTTATAGTTTAAGAGCTTTGTGTTCAACTTAGTTATCAATTAGTTTACCTACATTCCAATTGATCTAGTAATGTATTTACCTTCGAGTGGATAACCAGTGATTATTAGCCTTAACCTACAACTATCAACCATACGAAAACCTGAGGCAGCCGCTGCCTCTACCAGATCGTTATACTCGCTTAAGTGAATTACAATCTTAATAATCTAATTAATCTAAAATACTTCGATAAATAATCTAACAAAAAGTTTAGTATAAATCTTATAATCTCAAACAAATCTGATTTAAAGTTTTTTTTAACTCAACTCAATTAAAATCATTCAATTCAATTTATATTCAATTCAAATTATTTTATTTATTCAAATTATTTTATTTAATTCAAAATAATAATATTTTATATTATTTATAATATCATTTATAATTCTTATTATTATTATTATAAATTGAATAAAATAAATTGAATAAATAAAATTGAAATAAATAAATAAAGTTTAATTAAATAAATAAATAAAATTTAATTAAATAAATTAAATGATTTTAAAATTGAATGATTTCAATAAAGTTAAAAAAAGTTTTAAATCAAATTTGTTTAAGATTATAAAACTTATATCAAGTTTTTTGTTAGATTATTTACTAGAGTATTTTAGATTAATCAAATTGTCAGAAATATAATTTATTTAAACAAGTGTTTTATTTTTTATTATTTACACTAAGTAAATCTTATATATAATAAAGTTTTGATATTAATAAATCAATAATAATTTATTTTTGAATTTAATTATCTTTTAGATCTTAAATTTTTTATTTATTATAATTATAATTAATATTTTCTTAACTCTTTTTCAAGGTACATTCACTCTCTGAATAAAACTAAAGTTATAAAAATATAAACAAATCACTTTAATTAATCACTAGATTAAAAATACAATTCACTCAAAGCCCCTCAACTAACCCCCACACCCACAATTTCAAACTCTGCACCTAGCACACCTCGGCACAAGCTCAACCTTCTCCTCACTATAAAAGAGCTCCATCTCCCTCCTAAAAATAAACAGACAAGCTTGCCCTTCGTCTCGGCAATTGTGGTGGGACTTTTTGCTGATCTTCAGCTGTCTTGCTGAATCTAGGACAGATACCACACTAGTGTAGCGAGGCGGGCTTTCGCCCGCTTCCACATACAAAACGTGCTTCGCATGTTTTGTGTGTGAAAAGAACGCGCAACTTTACATAAAATCTTAATGCAGTACCTTTGTGATGCTGTTTTCTAGGACGCAAGTGGGGACTGCCGACTACTCGTTGGATTTATGGGGTATATTTGACGTCATCCATACTGAAGTTTTGGGACGATATGCAATTTTTACTGAATTGTTTGAGATTTTATTGTCGTTTATCATGATTTCTATCATAGGATGATGCAAGATGAAAGTGGCCAGGGTACCTCTATTTTTGGGAGAATATACTTATGTAAGCAGAATTTTGAAGGAAGAGAAGTTCTATTATTTCAACTGGTCGTTGGAAGTTTAAAAATGTCTAATATGAAGAAAAAGTCTGTAGTGCTGCGATGAGTGGCTCTTTATAGATACAGAGTCTATCTAGTTTTTAATATCTAGAAAATTATAATCATACATACCGTTAATCCATTTTTAACAATTGTTTAAATCTTCTTCCCCGTCATTTAATACTCACCAGTATATTTCTACCTACTTTCATTCACAATAATGTAGATCCACTTCTTCAAACCCCAGGACCTCATGCCAATCCATAAAACAAGCGAATTCCACCCATCTGGGAATAGCACAAAATCTTCAAGGAAGGTTGAAAAAAAGGCAGGGGTGAGTCTAAAGATACCAGGTTTAGTGTCTGACATAAGTTCAACTTCTGCAAGGGAGTCTATCAGTCTGTGATTAAGCATGAATCTCAAGAAAATCGTGGTCTTTGTTATTATATGAATTGATGTTGAAATAAGATGCGAGAGATAATGTGATGGTAGTGACAAGATGATGAGATAATGAGAAATTTTGGGAGAGATAGTAAATGCATGTTATCATCGTATTTGGGGCTTAACGTCACATACCGTTTTCTCTACAAATACCATTATCAAAAATAGCCTAGCGGAAGAACATAGATTTCAGAATCCTAAAAGCTTGAGTCATCAGCTCGTTGCCGACATAACAGGTGAGAGTTGGACTCGAGACAACACCAATATTCCGCTTTCCAGAAAGTATTTACTATGATTTAAAGAAAAACTGCACAGCTATCCACAATCCCCCTTTTATACACGGCAACTCTCCTCCTTATCCCAAATTAAACAAATATCCTCGAAGCTGGAGGTATCCACACGTAATGCCTCGCTCTCGGACTAATACACCAGATACCAATCTAAACTTATTTACTTGACTATAAAAAGACTCTCACTGCTTTTGTAGAAGAAAAAAGAAACCTTGGCAACATTCGGGATGCACAACAGGAGCAAAAGTGAATTTATTGGAATTGCAGCTTTGGAAATTGGGAATCAAGAGTCGAGCCGGATATGAAAGACTTTTGATTGTCGATTATATGTTAGGTTCTTAATTGTTATTTGTAGGTATGGGTTAGCTGTTGATTGTTTAGAATTTAGTTATAATTGATCATTAATCATAATTGCGGTTGAGGGACGAAGCTACTGAACTAGACGAGGAGTAATAAGATCTTAAAATAGACTTATGTATTGGAAAACCAAAATTATAACCGCTAATTTGTGACAAAGAGGACTCCCCATAATTTTCATCATTTTCCATGCAATTCATTGATGAAAAACCTTGATGCTCTCGAGGTAAATCTTTATAGCTTCAGAAGTACACTGCACTCCCAGGACAATAACTCACTCTCATACTTTGCATCTTCACGTAGCATAAGATTATGTTTTCCGCATTAGAGAAGTCATAAGTGCTCAAGATCCAGCTTACTAATCTTGCATGTACCGCTCATTTTCGAACTCTGAATTCTTCATCTTCCTTTAAAAGGAGCATGCCCGAGTAAATCTATAACATTATACTTTCTTTTTGAAGTGAACTCACTCAAAAGAAAAAACATTGGTAAATTGTTTAAAGTTTCATCGCTTAAAGGAATTGTGAGATTGACTAGAATCTTGAAGTGAATTTCATTTCTTGGGATAATGAAAAGAAGAAAATGAAAGGGTTTGTGGAGATGGGTTGGAAAAATGATGATGAAGGCGCGTTACGAATGATAAGAGAGAAGCGGTAATGATAATTAAAATTACAAGAGCGACAATGAAAACCCAGGAATCATCATCACCTCCACAAACTATGTTTTAAAAAACGTAGAAAAACCCAGCGAAATCAAAATATTAACGGTGACTCACTCGCATACAATAATTTACACTGTACATCTACACGGAGCATCTGAAAGCGTTCCAGAGTACTGTTGCATGGAATCGGGTAAAGGGATGAGGTTGCTTTGAGTGAGATTTATTGTCCATACATGCTAGGCAGTGGATACAAAAGATCGCTTGATACTAGGTAGAGTGACTGAATGAAAAGTGGATTAGGTTAGTTTTTTTGATTCGGAGATGATTTAGGTTCTGTGTGGCCCCACTTGAGGTAGAAGGATGTATTGTATGGCTTCTATGTGAATGTATAAGAGTGAACCTATTACAAACACAATAGTTGAGTGAGCTAAAAGTGTTTGTAAATTATTTTGTTCATTAGGTAACTAAAGATGGGGCATTATTTGCATCCATCCATCTACCTTTTGCCGATCCTATTATCGTATGACCAAAGTATCCAACTGGTCTATGTATACCAAGGTTATCCTATTTGTGCCCGCGCATATACAGCCCCTTCCCCTTCCTTATATCCTCCTAGGAATCATCCCAACCTGCACTCCCTTGGCACTACAGGCAGTAAGCGCAAACTGTTCCTTCCACTCCGTACCATCCCTATCCGAAATTATGTCAAACTCTTGCAACAGCCTGATAATCGTATAACTTGCTTCAGCCAAAGCAAACTGTTGACCAACACAAATTCGAGGTCCGCCGTTAAACGGAAGATATCCCCAACCGGGTCGTAAACCCTCTTCGGGTGCCCAGCGCTCTGGTCGGAATACGTCCGCATCCGGTCCGAAAATATCAGTTCGACGGTGCATGGTGTAGGTTGACCATGCGACGGCGGAGCCTTTGGGGATAAATATGGGGGACATGCGGTCTGGGCCTCCACCAAGGGGAAGAACGGTGTCCCGGCGAGAGAAGCGGGCATTGGATGGAACAACGGGGTAGAGACGGAGTGCTGTGAGACCGATTGTTAGGTTGGCCATGATAGATGAAGTGATAGATAGACACTTACATTCGTTCAAAACATATTTTATATATTTCATACTTTTCATTTTCTCATAGTCCGGTTTTCCGCCATGTAATTCATCGACCTCTGCCATTAACTTCTCCCAGATATCCGGTCTACGAGCGAGAACATGGAACGTGTTGCTGAGTAAACTTGCGGTTGTATCTCGTCCAGCGAGTAAAATATTAAGTAATTCATCTCGAAGTTGTTTAGGATCTCTTGATGCTTTGACCATTTCCGTAAGAAAAACATATCTTCCAGGTCCATGGCCTTCTACAGCCTTTTCTTCTTTTGCGTCAATCTTAGATAGAGCTTCGTAGACTATTTTGTCGACAAACGAATGCACGGTTTTGCATGCTTCGTCGAATTCGGAATCGCACATCCAATTTGATAATTTACCCATTGTAAATCGCCCTTCAAGTTTGATTTGACCGAGATCAAAAGCTGTGCCAAACTTTTGTTGTTCCGAGCCTTCGATACTGGTGAGTGAATGTACTGATTGTCCAAATAGAAACTCGGTAGCTGTATCAAGAGTCAATTTGAAAAATAATGACTGAAGATCGAATGTGGAGCCATCTCGAGGTATTTGTGAGAGGAGAACTTGAATGTGTTCCTCAAAGATGTTAAGATCTGCCACTTGGGATTTGTTAAAATTTGGTCTAACCAATGCCTATAGTATATTAGCATTTTGATTATGTGGATCGATACTTCCAGACCATACCCTTGAATGTTCCCACTGTGCCCCATCTACACAGGGAGTCAGTTCAAATTCCTAAAATGTGATCATCGCACGACGAACCTGTAGTGAAAATTCCTTCGCCAAGTAAGGGTGAGAAAGCACCCCGCCTTGCTCCCAAGTCATAATCTTTGAAATTGACTGCAAGTAAGGTCTTGAGATTCTCTGGCTCGATTGTATTGAAGAAATCGAATCCCATCATTGACAACACATAAGTATTCCCATTTTCCTTGTACCTATCATAAACTGCTTTCAACCTTCTTTTCTCCTTCGCACTTTTGACTTGAAATTTGTACATGTCCCATCCTATAATGCGTTCACGTTGAGGTAGTTTGTGAACTGGCTTGCAACCATGTGCTTTTTGAAATCTTCTTGCAGAAACATGCTTTGTGATTTTATGGACAACGAAAGCTGCAATGATGAGGATGAAGAAGAGGCCATAGTAGGCCATTTGATAAGGAATCCGAGGAGAGTTATGAAGATGAGGTCAGGCTTGAGAAGGTAAAATGAAATAGATAGCGGGTTCCCGATATTTAAATGAAGAATCAGAATCACTAGCTCGGGCAGAGCATTGAGATAAGCATTTGAGGGGGCTGACTTCCTAGAACAGCTGAAATTGCGGGGGCTGATTGTGATTGGATTTTATTGTACGGGTTCGCATGGAACCATACATTTTCAACACAGCCTTGAAGAGGATGGCAAAAATTGGATGAATTGTATACCCAATAAAGATTTGATGTCAATTGTCTTATTTCCTGTTTGATTGACCCACAAGACGTTTTCTTTCCAAGATGTTTGAATGCCGATTCGTTCAAGAACGAGAGATGACCATGATCATATACGGAGTACCTAGTATGATATAGATCATGGGTCAAAATAATCCTAGTTCTGATGGAAATGCTCCACAAGCAACGAATCAACGGATTCTTTTACCTTCATGGCCCGATCCATAGATGGCTTTGAAGGATGGATTATGGTAACATTGAAGAATTCCAAACTAATCGCACGGAAATTATTTTGTGTATCAGATCTCATTAATCATCCTATCAGAGATCATATTGACTTACCTGAATCTCCAATGTGCGACCATGTTGAACATCTCCCATGCACATTTCGTTCCAGCTCTTGCTATCGGGAACTGTGGGATATCGTTTCATCCCATTTCGATTTTGTAGCAAAGAATCCCGTCTCCGGATTCACTGCATTGATCCATGGTTTTGCCTCCGTCATCCTCCGTAGTGGGAATTCCATGCACTGTTCATAGGCTGGCGCCATCGAAATTATCATCATCTCTGCTTGTTGTAAGATCTCCGTCGTTTGTTTGGTCAGGTTACGAGGTTATACAAAATTACCTCGGTTGCTGACTAATCAGTCTTGAATTTCTTATTCATGAAATTTGTATTTACTTCGGCTCCCTGACAGGAAAAAAGAACAATGTCTGAAATCTGCTTGGTCGTTTGTACGAGAATATTGCATCTTTACAACTTACACATGGAGTAGGTATATGTCTCTAGACTGCACAATCCCTTAATAATGATATACCCACTTGCGCGCATGTCTTTCCCGACACTGCGTAGAGGCCAATTATGCGACTGGATATACTTTTTGCATGCCAGCAAAATCGGCTACGCAGGTACGAGCCCATTATTGGTTTGTTGGTGGCGATGAGGATTTGTTCAGCAGTGTTGTATACAACTTCATCCCCTTTTGACGAATAATACCAGGGTTTTCATAATATCTGGTGTTTTGATCTTTTTTGAGAGATCTTAATTTGATTTATTACGCCAGATAAGTTGCACTTGCAATTTGCCTCTGTGGATTGATTCAATCCAGCACCGAGCAAGCAGACTTCCAAGGCTTGTTTCCCCTTTCTTGTTGGCCTTCCAAAACTCCGAAATTCCATCGTCACAGGAAAACCTGAGTTCCTGCTGAGAGTGCGATCCTTCTCAGCAGATAATCTTCCGGACAAGGTTCTAGAGCGGTCGAACTTTATGCATGTGTGAAACTCAGGCAAAGCTGCTTCTTATGCAATTTTCTCCAAACCATCTGCAGTGTAGTACTTAACTAGTTTCTTTCTTCCATTTCTAATGTATCATATTCACAAAATCTGGGTTTATTGTCAGTAACATATCAAATCGAGGACAAAGATTGATGCGGTGGATTTCCAAAAGGCAGGGTTTACCTTCATTATGGAGATACGGGTCAGCCCAATTCTTTTCTAGATGCTCCTAGGTTTCTGATTACAGTTATTCAATCGGGTTTCAAAAACGGTCAATTACTCGGGGGATCTCTCGAAATATTTCGGATCACGGCCGATGTTCATTTACGATATTGAGAGGACCGGATTTACGGGTACGACAGGTGGGTCGAGAACATCAATATGGCTAAGACAGGCAAGTATGGAATGGAATGCTCACTTCGGCAAAGTAAGGAGCAAAAAGGATTGAAACGAAACAAGCGAAATTCAAGATGAAATGTAAAGATGCAATTATTCTTCTCTAGCTGTCCTTCGAGTTACAGAACTGTTGGAATTGTAGCATCAAGCTGCGGTCATTCTTGGAATGTCATTGTTTTCTTTCATTGTGCGACTTGAAATGCAGCAGATGCATTAATGAAGATTGAATCAAGGGATAAGGTAGTGGAGAACTTTTAGCGCTTACGCTGCTTACATAACACAATCATCGCCTACAAAGACCCAACCTCATTCTCCCACTTCATGATTTCCTTTCTGTTCAACAACGCAAACAATTATCTTTCGATAATACAAAAAATATCACCCACGGGTCGCAGGGGCCCGTAGAAAACTATACAACAATGTCAGTCACCGCTACTACAACAGCAGGAGCGGCGCGTCAATCCACCTACGAATACTTCGCACCACAGCAATCCGACAACTAGTTCTACGAGTAGTTTTCATGATCTCCAGAGTCCTCTTCACTGGGATCAGAATTCTACTCAATTATTCCATGATTATGATTTCGGTTTCGATGTAAATGCACATTGTCCTGTTTCTTCGGCACCAGATTCATTGTTTTCTTTTGATGCATTTGCACTTCCAGTTTCACAAACACCTTTCCAGAATTCCCCTGATTGGTGGTTGCCAGAAACCGATTCTTGCGAATTTCTTACATGGGATGATCCGTCAATGAGAGAGGATATCTCACTTGAGTCTTCTTTCCCCATCGCTGCTGGTACTTCTCTTGGTAATGACAATTTCTTGGGTCAATCGGATGTTGGATCCATTGACAATTTGTCTCAATCCCATTCATTTCTCGATAATCAAACTCATGGAGGTAAGTCTTTAATTCACATCCCATATGATTCATTTTCATATACTAACATGTTCCCCTCCAGCAATATCCACTGATCAATCTTCCCCTCCTTCTCCCAATCCTAAATCAACAACTTCACAAACCCACTCATCTCCACCCTCACCTCCCTCTCCCAGAACACAAACTCCAAAAGGATCTTCAACCACCATGTCACGAGTCGAAAAACGTAAATTAAATACGATGGCCGCTCGTCGATATCGACAAAAACGCGTTGATCAAATGAGTAGCCTCGAAGCCGCTCTCAAGGAAGTCGAACGTGAACGAGATGCTTTGAAAGTACGTGTTGCGAAATTGGAGGGTGAGACGGAGATCTTGAAATCATTGTTGAGTAAGAAGGATTAAGATATGATGGATGGATTTGTTTCATTAGTGTTGAATTCGGTGGTTTGGTTATCGATCCTTGAATTTAATTGTCATTTACCATTTACATTGCAATTGTGATGACTTTGATGTGAAAGGCATAAGTGAGACTTTCAGACGATGTCGGTTTGATAGTTCATTGACCAGCAGAAATGGTCACTCATATCGGCAAAATAGGTTGTAATCTTGGTCTCGAGTGTAGTGTTTGGAATGGTTTTGGAGTACTTACATCTCATTTTCATGTAATGTTTCGTTTCATTTTAATGCGAAGATTCATGTTCTCAAATTGTTCTGATGTTGCTATCATTATTATCTATCTCTATATACTATTCATATTATCCATATTACATACTCTTGAGCTGGAAATATCTCTATGAGAAATATCCCATCACTATTTCTCAACATGAGTCGAAATGAATATACGCTCGCCGGTACGATGTACATGATCCACATCATTTTTCACTTCTATGTTCACAATGCCAACCACTTATTCACGAGAATATCTATTTCACAAAAGAATTTCGTACTCAAAGGAAGAGATTGGTTATTCTATCCAAAATGTCTAGTCTGAAGTAATACACCATTCTCGCCGTCGCTCAACTTCCCAATTCCTTCACATCTACCTACGGAGATCCAACTCATAATATCTCACATTCTTCCCTCACACACACACTTCCCTTACAAATTCCCTCCCCCTCTTACTTTCCTCTCATTTTCCTTCTCCATCTAAAACCCCCAAATTCACGCACACCGCATACTACACCAACCTGATTGGCGCAATCTAGCTGCAGTGTGGGTGATACATAAAGAGCCATTATGAGTCATAATTGCTCATTATCACGTGATTACCTTAAAAAAATAAGGTAGATGGTCTGTGCGTTGTGGGCTGCCGAATTTGGGGTTTCTGTGATGATTTGATGGGTGAGTGGCTGCAAGGGAAAGAAAACTTTGAGAAAGGAGGAGGGGAAAAGATTAGGCGAGGTGATGAAATAGGAGGTGTGATTGGGGATTTGGGGAGTTAGTGGGTTAGTGGATGTATTTCTGGGATTGGAGTATGCGCTAGGAAGGTTCGAGATTAAGTGCAAGTGTAACTAAATGGTTGATAGCAATCAGTAATGGAATGGCTCGACGATAATGAATTTGAAAAGTTAGACAAGTCGTCTTAGAATAATCGTAGGAGTAAAGAACTCGCGGGTCAAAATGGCGATTGCATCCGAGGTTTTATCAGCTGCATACATAAGTAGGAGAAGCGATATGGGAATCGGGCGTATTTTTGGGAAGTCTCAAGGCGAGGGTTTATATCTTGATTTTTTTTGAATCCTCGTTGTTATGAAACTTATTTTGTTTTGAGAATTCTCAATTTTTATTTATTTATATATATTAATAGTCGAAGATAAACATTTTGTAGTTAAGGGAAGTTTATTTGGATTTAGTTATTCATAGACTAGATTCTTTTTTTTATGTCCGGTGTTATTTCGAATATTCATGTTGAGTGTGTCGCTATCATAAACCGGTGGAATTCCATTGTCATGTTGATCCTTAAGTATTTATACCTTATTATTCTATTCATCTCGAAACATTCCATCCTCATTTCACTATCCACTTCCGAACATTCAATCTTTATTGTTCTATTCATTTCTTAACAGTAAATCTCGATTATTCTATTTAATTCCGAGCATTCAACCACCATCACCTCATTTATTCCGAACATCCAGAGCGATAGTCCCGTCCACAGCAAAACAATAGAGCCCTATTGTCTCAATCAAGTTCGAGTATGAATCCTTATTATCCCGCCATGTTCACAACATAGGGTTAGTTATTCCGTCCCTGCTTAAACAATCAAGCTCCGTTCTTGCACTCATACTCGAATATTTCAGCTCTGTTATCCTATTTATAGTCGAGAAAGTAAACTTTATTGTTCAACAGTAGCTTTAGGTATTGTCGCTTAAGTATTCAGGGGTTGTATCGTATAGCTCGATTATACTACACTACACGGGATCGGGCGTGTTATAGAGTTCTAGCCCGGTGTTTCCCGCAGAGTATACACCCTTCTCTATCTCTAAAGTGTGAGATATATACCCTATGTATATATACTGAGTATGGGTTAGCTCGAGGGTATAAGCACGTGAAGTTATGTCTTATTTAGAACTTCTTATATAGGATGACTACATGAGATGGTTATGGGAGATGATTATACGAGATTTTTATAACATCAGGCGATCATATGACATGATCATATGGGATGATCTCATAGAACCATCATATGATATTCGAGAATGGTAATAAATCGATTAAAATGATATTCATATATATTATTTGTTTATTCTCTACCAGTCGTAAGATGTGAGGACTTGTTTGAATATACTTGTCACGTTTTAATGTCAGATTCATTCATTATTTAAGAGTTGTTCATGGGATACGGGCAATATGTATGAGTATATCTATCAAGAATTAATATCAAAATCATGAATCTCTGTATCTCTGTCTACAGATGAATCGCCTGTGTATACCCTTTCCTTCATGAAAATTATAACGTGAAGTATCATTAATGGATTCCATAATAGTCATCAACTAGGACCTGAGAGAAACAATATGAACACATTCTGCAAACATTAATATCGAAATCATAAAACTCTGACTCTGTCTATTAATAAATTATCCATCTACACCCTTTCCTTTACCAAATTGATCTTAACTATGTATCATTCCTGAATTTCCTAACAGTCAACAATAGGGATATGAGGAACATACATGAATACAATCTTCAAGAACTAAAAACGAAATGGAAAATGTCTGACTGTGTACAAGAAGAGAACGCTTATAAAAGAGCTTCCCTTCCCCCTCACTTCCCTTTTCTTCTCTTCATCACCACAAGCACCTCAAACCGAAAGCGTAACATCGAGACAGCATTTTCAACCCTCTGATCAACACAGTGTCAAAATAGCAAGCTCAATATCCACTACCCTCCACGCTTAAACAATTACATCAACTATCCCGAAGCACTACTTGGGTATGTGTATTCTCTATACAGTTAGTTACCTGCAATTATTAAGCTAGAATACGTATCCCTGAGCCTAGACTGCGCAAAAATAATCCACAGGTTGCGGATATCCGCAAATAATCCGCCCTATAAATTATTCAATAAACCTACAATCCGTTTCGCAAATTACCCATTGGGATTTTAAAATAACTTGTATTGTATAGCTTATTTGCGGATTATTTATAAATAATCCATTAATTCATAATCAGATATAGTTTGTATAAAATAAGTATAATTTACAAAGATTGGTATAAAAACTAGTATAAAAAATGTGGGGATAATTTCAAAATTTAAGCGAATATCCACTTTATAGATAATTTACAGATATCCATCTACCTGCAGGTAAATAGATAATCCACGAATTGATGGATATCTACAAATAATCTGCAAATTATTCGCAAACTCATATTCTTCAATTACCTGTTTCGTAAATGGGTTATCTGTGGGTTACCCTTCGAGGGAAATAATCCGCCCTGCAGAGACCCATTGCGCAGCCTACCTGAGCCAGAGACATTTAGAAGCAAACTCTCGAATCTTGGCTTCACTGAGACCGCCACTTCAAGACACATCTGTCGGCCGTCAAAGAGCCAACCCCCAAATTCGGCGACCAACCAACTAGCGGAGGAAGAACCGAATCAAAAAATTAAGCATCAGGAAAATGGAGGGTTATATGGATAGAGAGAGATTTCTAGCCTCCCGAAAGCATTATGAAGAATTATGGAGACAAAAATGGAATAAAGAACGTATTGCAGCGGTTCAAGAACTCGAAAGCTGGAAGAAAGAAGAGAAAAAAGAAGGTGACCGAGGCTATGTTGACAAATATGAGCACGAGCACAATTTGAAGCACGTTGGTACATGGGCTCACGGTGAGGGTGAGCCCAGGAAAGTCATCGCAAACTCGGGAGCTGTATACGATGCTGGCGAGAGAATCAGACAAGCAGGGAAGAGAGCGAGAGATGCAAGACTTGAAGAGGCGTGGAGAGTTGAGCTAGAAGCCTGGGAAGAAATATTGATCATTTATGATTTGGATGATCCTGGAAGAGCCCCGGATGACGTGCTGACCAAACGGAGTCGCCAAAACTTAGACCAGCACAAGAAATCCTGTGTGCCGAAAATGAAAACTCCTGCGAGACCCAGACGGGCACGATGCGACCACTGCATTGAAGATCTCAAAGAGGGAATTTCCATTGAATAGATCCTCGAATCAGAATCTAGGGATTTGGAACATTATGCTATTCGAATTGCAGCTCCCATGAGGGGATAGATATTTGGAAGTTAAACGCGTTGACATTCAATCTGGGACTGAGAATGATTGCTGAGATTCCGTGATATGAAAGTGATGATATTATGAAGAAACCATAAATTCTACAGCCTAACTTGAAGGAAAAAGTTTCAGTATTTATATGAATCGCGGAAACTTCAAAGTTGAGCTTATTTTACCTGAATTGCTTTGAGTACCCCCTTTGGTTTCTTTATTTTACTCCATATATGATTCCAAATCTGTGTTGATTTATAATTCCTTGCTTCTTCACATCGAGATCGCAGTGATTAACTTCGATCTATATCTCTTATGATTATTCATATTCACCTGATTTTACATATCAGAAGCCCAAACACTTAACCCCACCCGCTTGCCCCCCCTTTTTCTGGCCGAACCCTCAACCCCAAACTCCCCAACGTGGAACTCAAAATTCCAGAAATATTAACACCAGGGTAACAGAAATCCATAAATATATTCTAACTTAATGGTATTCAGCATAGAAAACGCAAATAAATGTCGATAACCGCAGTCAACTCCAACCCGAACTATTTTTTCAAGTAAAAAAATGGCTCGATACAGTACACCATGCCAACGGATTTCAAATTTCTAGCGCCCTGAATACTTAAATCTAGTTCTCGATACAGGCTTCGTAATTGCCGGTATACATGCGTGGGAGGAGACCGAGAGCGAGCTGTCCAAAGAAAAGAAAAGAGAAGAGCCGAAAAGAATCATCGACGCAGAAGGAAATGGGAAATCAAGAAAGGATTGCATAGACTGCAAGATATGACAGATGCATGCAGATGTGTGGTGCGATAGTAAAGCGGGGAGTAATAGTCTGGAACGAAGAATGAAAGAAGATAGGCGAAGATTGACGAAGCAATGAAGATATTACACGACCACACCATAAGAGAAGCGTAGTGCGAAGAAGTAAAGTGGAGCAGTGAAGATATTACATGATCATGACAGAAGAGTGGCGCGTTCAGTTTCAAAACCTCAAGAAATGAGAAACTAAAAAGCTAAAATCGAAGTTTCATTCAAAGCAAAACAAACGGGTATCGAAGCAGGAGCATAAAAAAGGAAGTTAGACTAGAGAAGGATTTTGAGTTGGCATGAAATGAGGAGGGAGATTGTTGGTTACAAGAATCAGCAGGAGAAAAATAAGAGGTGAAAGAAGAGAGGAATAAGAGGGGAATAAGGGGGTGGTGTTAGGCTTGATCTTATAATTGGTTGATGGATGGATGGAAGGTGTATGTATATATATATATATATTATGGAGGAGAGAGCAGGATGGTGGAGAGGGGTGCTGGGGGGGGAAAGGGGAAGAGGGTGGTGTAATTGATTCTTTGGAGGCTTTGGTGGGGAAGAAGTGATTTTGGGGATGGATGGGGTGAGTGGGAGGAGCATCAATATGAAAATGCTAAGATACATACTGAGGAACGTATGCCATCTTACTAAGGCGTAGAGGGTCATATGCGAGGATTGTCAGTATGATTCTGAAATTGAATTTTTGGCAAAGGAGGAAGGGCAGTGTCCACTTAGGGCTGCCTATTAGGGAAGGTAGAAAGATGTAGGTTTCTTGAGGTTTTGGTAAGCTGGGACTACAGACATTCGGAGTTTACTGTGTATGTTAATAAGACCGCAGGACGAAAATTCTTCATTCATTTGGTTTTCAAGAATCTAAGTGCTTTAGGTAAGGTTGCTTGACCTCACCTCATGCCTCCCTTTACTCTTTCCAATCCTCTTCCTACCTCTTTCGTTCCTTCTCTTTTCTACTTTCATCATGTATATTTATCTCTGAATCCCATCCTCGCTTGTAAACATACAAATATCCGACATCCAACATCAAATAATCTACATAGCAAAGTCACATTCGTTAATCCAAAAAACATTCTTACACTGTCGTTTTACATCATTTTTCACATCACATTCGCAAACTTTACGAAAAATTCTTAAGCATCCACATATCAATACCAAGAAAGTCTACACAACCTATCCTTAACCCTTTGTCGAAGGCTATTAGACGTTCTTCTTTCTCCCTAGTTCAAATCGAGTTTCCGTGAACACTTTTAAGCAACTAAACCACTAGCACAAGGAAGTTCACACTGACACAACTCGAAGGCACACCGAACACTTTTTCTTCGAATCAAGATACCATCCCCTAACTACCGCAAATTTACCATGGATTCTCATAAACGTAGCAAGTCTGATGGCCATTCTCAGCAGCCCAAAGCCGAGTCGAGTTCGAAATCTCCGAAAGAAGAGAGTCAATCCTCTTCTACCTGTGAATTAAGCCGAAGGTTAGATGAACTTACCACAGAGAGCGACAGCGATGAAGAAGAATTGGAAGAGAATGACCCGGGAGAGGATGACCCAGAAGAGAATGGCCCAGAAGAGAATGGCTTGAAAGGACGTGAACTCAGACGCCAGAGACGTATGAGGGTACGCGGGAGAATGGAAACAGCGCGAGGAGTATGGGATACGGAAAGAAATAAATTGGCGACATACGCAGACGATCGACTATATACGGAGGCTGCCAGAGCTTTCAATCAGGAGATTAAAAGGAAGAAATTGAGGACCGAAATGGAGGAATGTATGAGTTTGGATGACACAACAGTGGCAAGCGTAGAGAAGAAGGAAAAAGAATTGGAAGGGCTGAAGAGTACCTTTGTGAAGAAGATCACGAAAAGACGGAGCCGCAAATCGATCTTAAGAACGCTCAAAGAGGAATTAAAGGCTTACAATATGGTAAAGGCGGAAAGTCAAAAGCGGGTGATGGAAGCTCAAATGGAAGTGGATAAAACACAGCTGCAAGAAGCTGAAATAAGATATGAAATGGTGCGATTATGGCAGAATGAAGTGGAAAGATGGGTAGAGGAGCTTGAGATTCCAATCCTTGAATATAAGTCTAGATACTCGCCTATTGAGCTCGCAGCTGATGACGCGGAGCATTTGAGAATTTCTCTACAAAACTTCAGGACACATCGAGACTGGTGTATGGACGGCCCCTGGCTGGGACAACGATGGTTTTATACTAACGCTGCCCGGAGGTATGAGTGTGATGATTGCAAAGATGACATCGCATACCAAACATCATTGCAAGCGTTTCAAGAGTTGCAAGATGAGACTGAAGTTTAAGATGGAATGTGGATCATGGAAGCGTGTGGATTTTTGATGTACTCTTAATGCTTCAATAGCGTTCTCAGAAAACAACCCAATAAGCGAAATAAATATAGATATAAGCATAATTTTCAACTATTAATTGCATCCTGCAAGTAATTCATCTGAAAACTTTGAAATAAAACATTACACCTTCCAAGCCATCTGCTTTTCAAAGCGACCCCTTCACCTCGCTACGTCTACCGAGGGACAACCTCCTATCTTCAACCTCTGTTATTTTTCATAGCAAGATATTGCGTCCCAGCACCCATCCCAATTTTCCCCATACAATAATTTTCGGATATAAATTGGATCAGAAGGGTGATGATGTCTTCAATATAAAATGATCCTTTTTGGATCTATAACAAACACATCTTCAAAATCCATACAATAGAGCAGCAATTAAGAACAGAAGCCAAATGAAGAGGAAAGCCAGGAGAATAATATTCGTTTCAAAGAAAAAAGAAGAGTAGAGAAGAGAGTAGCAACATTATTATTATTAGTATCATTTTCTAGCCGCCTTACTTCTAGCTCTATTCTGGACTGAATATATAATCTTAATCTCAACCTTCACTTGATGTTAGAATCCAGAAGACACTGCCAAGGTAAAAGGACAGCAAGGAGCGTGATATATCAATTTGAGAAAGTGATAAGTAGATGCGTTTTTATCATTTAATGAAGGAGCGTTTTTTTTGAGTGTATATGATATTTAGTTACCTATTACATACATACATACAGTTCTGTACCTACTGCGCATTTTCATTTATTCATTTATCCTTCCATCTAACCAACCACATGTGACAAAATGTGATGACTTAAATATCCGGATCTAGTTGGAATAACAGTGATGATTAATTTGATATGACATGAACGCAGATGTAATTCCACTGCAAGGTGGCTTGTTGTGCCTTGAGGAATCAGTATGTTTTCGGTAAAAGACGGGTGAAATATTCATTTCTCATCACCGCGGGAAACCATCCACGGAAAAACCAACCGAAATCCAAATATAAATCCCATTGATCCAAATTCACATTCCCATTTCATAATGACGCTAAAGTTCAAAGGTGTTTCAGGTAATGACTTTATATCTCGTGTATCTTGAATTGATTAGGAGGCTTCCCCCTCCTCGTTTGATACAGGTTCGACGATCTGAGATGCAGCTTCGTTGCTACTACTTGTTGCTGCTCCGCCATACAAGCTGGCCAATCTCTCAGCTTCTTTCTTCTCACGTAAAGCCTCGGTCTCTCGTCGCATTTTCTCCATGTTCCATGCATCATCATTATCATCATCACCATCATCCTCATCTCCGCTCGCTTCCCAATCTCCCTTCTCGAACATAGCACGACCAGTAGCTTCCTTGGCAAGTCTAGCTTGTTCTTCGCCAGCCTTCTTATCCATACGTTCAGCTTTCCACTTTGCAAAAGTCTCAGGAGTGACCGGTGTTAATGTGCCTGTAAGCTTATGTCGTTCTGACTCAAGGAAATCTTCCAATGTAAGTGTCTTGAGAGGTGATTTATCCATGAGGGCCTTTTCCGCTGCACGCTGTTCTTTGGTTTTGAGAACGAATCTATATTATTATTATTAGAGAAGCGTAGATGATTAAATAAATTGATGTGACATACCCTGGTGGTAGTTTATGCTGGTACATACACTTGTCTCCTCCATTCGGACAAGTCCAAAACCAACCATATTTTCCCTCTTCCACAGCATCGATGAAGAATTTGCAGACTTTCTCTGTTGTAGTCTTTTGATTTCCTTTCTTCGATAATACAACGGAGCGCAATTTCTCTTCGTCCCAGTCGTCTGAAGTCTCTTCTTTTCTCTTCTCTGCTTCTGCTTCTCGTGGATCCTGGGCAAGATCGATTTTTGTTGTTTTCCGCTCAATATTCAGATCGTGTGAGAATTTACACTTCCTACCCTTTTCACAATGACCCTTCTTGTAAAATTGACATAGAACCGTCTTGGGATCTACACCAAATGGGACTTTCTGGACCTGTACAGGCTTGAATAACTCAGCCGCCTCCTTCTTCGCCGCTTCTGATGCTACCTTCTCTCTCTCTTTCTGTTCTTTCTCGGCCTGTTTTTTCTTGTCATCGGGAGTACCTCCAGCTTTAAACGAAGTTTGCATGCGCTCGATTTGTTTTTGCGCTTGGGCTCCCTTCTTATTCTTCATACCGAAAGTTTTATCTGCCACGCTTACAGGTGCCTTCTTGGGCTGATCCTGCTGGCCCTTTCCCTTCTTTGGCGGCATTTTGTCGAATTTTTGATGAAGACTGTGTGAATTGTATTGATGATTGATTCAGTCGATAATGAAATTTGGCGGATGAAGGTTCAATGGAAGGGTATAGATAGACGGAAAAGACTGTGCTTGTATTTCCTTAATGTGTGACAAAAGAAATGTTCGTTTTTACACTTGGTGATGAAATCAGATCAAAATCATCATACTAGGTAAGCAAGGACTTGATTGATCTCGGTGGGGTGGAAATTCAATGGCCACTTTAGCGAATGAGCTAGTCGGGGTTTGAAGCTTTGACTTTGGCTCCATCAAGCTGGCCTTACAGGAAAGCCGCGAAGCTATTGCGACAAGATCTTTGGACCTTTACAATCAACGACCTAATAACGAATTGCGTTCGGGTACAATTGATGTAGATATCGAAACTTCGTGGTATGTTACTTTACAGTGTCTTGTTCATGCATCGGAAAAGAATGAAATTCTAACAGTTCTTTAAGTCTACCTAATCCATCAAGTCTTTCAAAGACCTTACGTGGCCTCCTTCAAGACTTCCCTTCGAATTGATCGATTACAACCTCAGTAGCAATCATACAAGATGATTTCTGACGATGAACTCTACCGCCTCGCTATCTTCCTTGGCTCAGCTGCAATGCTTTTAATTGTCCTTTACCACATTCTCGAAGTCAACTCTGCAGAAGAGCCCAAATCAGACAACAAAGTTAGCTCCACTTCCGCATCTCAAGACAGCAAAGCAAACGTGGCAAATAGATGATCGGAGAAGATAAATTTGGATTGACAGGATGATGGCTTTCACCATACAGCGGGAGAGGTGTGGTCATAGAAGGCTTGGCCGGAAAAGCAACACTGTACGACATATTTCGACAACTTTCTGGGCGTTTGTAATTTCTGGAGTTTAAAGGCGGACTGCTTGATGGATGTTGCTAGAAAGCGAAAAATATTTGGGCGCCCTTTTTCATACCAATGTCCTTAGCATAGCCAACGTATTGAATTCACCCAATGGTTGTGCTATGATCTTGCGCTTTGTATCATATGAATGTCGTGTTTGAGTTGAGGAAGGGCAAGGTGATTGAGGATTTGGTTGATTGAGCAAGATACCCATAGTTTATCCATCTGAATAGTGATTTGAGAATATTGGAAGATATCTATGGAGTATTCATCAGGATAGCATGGAGACCCGACAAAAACATGACCAAGCTCCGTTCTCTGTACATATTGATCATGATGTGGAATGAATACAGTACCTACACTGTAGTTTCCTACCTATTTACCGTATCCACCTATAGGTACTGCGATAGTCTCTTGTCCTTATTTTGAGTACCAGAGCGTATGATTTATTAATAGCGAGTCAAACTCAAATTTAGGAATTTAGAAGTCATGAGAAGTCATCCAAAGCTCTAAATAGAAAGAACTCGCCAGCTCACATATTGTGAATCTTCTCAGCTATGGTACTACGCTAAACCTAAATAGGTTAGAATGTCATGTGTTGAAAGAAATGATGACTCAAATTTAGCTTAGTGCCAAATCTTGTCGCGAACCAAACTCAGTCTCCTTCCTTCCAACTCCTTTCAAAACCATAAAACCATTCAGGAACAAACAAATAATTCCAACACTTTCGACATAATCCATCAACAACCCGAACTTCAACCACTTTCCATTTAATAGATCCCCTCTACAAAATCTTGAAATAAATCAACCTTCATTAAATTGCGACTTCATCCAACTTCGATAATCGCAAGTACATTTGCCAACAATACTTTCAGGCGCGTCTTCAGCCAAAGCCTGATTCCTCTTAGAACGCATTACAGCGCATCAGAAATTACAGTCAGCTAGCCTCTCTCCCATCCATCTCATCTTCGAAAGCGCTTGATCCATCTATACTCGGTCAACACTTTCTTGTTTTATTTGAACCTAACGTTACGAGCCATATTCAGCCAAAGTCTCACTTTTAAACACAAACTTTACAATGTCTTCTGATAAACTCGGTCAATCTCTTGACGAGATTCTCGCAACTCAAAGAGCCTCAGGTGCAGGTCGAGGTGGTCGCGGTGGTCGTCGTGGTGGTCGTCCTTCAGGTGGTCGTAACGCAACCGCAGCTCCAGTTGGAGGTGTATCGAAGAGCAAGAAGCCAGTTAAGGGTTCAGTAAAGCCTGCTCCAACCGGTCCTTCTGGTGGAAATGCCCCATCTCGTATTGTGGTCAGCAACTTGGTATGTTTGCCTTGTCTTTCCGTCTTCCTCGGGGATCAACCTGCTAATCATTTTTATCTCAGCCATATGATGTGACTGAACAACAGATTAAGGTATGTTGCCGATGAGGTCTTTACGGCCTTCAGGAACTTTTATCGATCTTTTTACACGCCTCTTCTTGATTCGTCGGAGTGGTCGAGGCCTTTGTTTATATGAGGGATCTTCCCTAATTCCCATCAAAAAGTATTTCTTCATACCTTTGCTCGCAGATTGCTTGATGCATTGGTAGGATTGAAGTTAGGCTCGTCAGATTGCATAAGACCAATGATTCTTTAGGTTGCCTGGCAAGCTCCTGATTTCGAACTTGGCGCAGACGAATGATGGTGTATTTTATGACTGGCATGCCATTGCATGGCAACAATAAAACGGAGACTTGTCGGAGAAAAGCATGATTAAAGATCAGCGAGCGCAGTGGTTGAGCAAGCACAGTACAGCACAGCACAGCACAACTATCTTCTTTTTTTTTTCCGGACTTGAATACCGAAAATTTGTGCTCTATCCATTGCGAGACATGCACCTCTCTTATGTACACAAGTTACGGGTTTCACGAAGTTACTGGGTTTACCATCCTCTGACGAGTTACATCACAACACCTTCGGCACATGGAGAGGCATTGATTGACACCACAGTCGACATTGCTGATTGACGATGGTTGATTATTCATCAATCGGCCCTTTGAATTGTTCGATTTTCTGGTTCGCATACTGACAACACTAACGCTGACCGCTCGCTCGCTGTTTCTTATGAGGGTGTCGGAACGATGATGCTTTTGAAAACTGCGAATATCTTTCTTTCTTGTGGACTGTCGACTTCGAAGAGATTTGTGCTGCGCATCATTTTCAATTACTAATACCATGTGTTATCAACGATTAGGAATACTTTCACGAGGCAAAACTACACACCAAATCCGTTCAATTAGTATACGGTCCAAATGGAGCTAGCCGTGGTGAGGCCAACATCACTTTCCATCGTCCAGGTGATGCTGCTGCAGCTGTATCAAAACTTAATGGTGTTAAGGTTGACAATAGATCATTGAGGGTATGGTCCATTGTTCACCAGTATTATACGGAAATTTGCTCACTACGAATAGGTCCAACTGCTTGTTGATGCCCAGGCTGCTGCTGCTTTTGAGGAGAAGGCTGCCAAGAGACTTATGGACCGCATTTCGAGCACACCAAAACCACAACCAAAGTCCGCAGTTCCCAACAAGTCAAATGGCAAGGACCAAGGATCCAAGAGAGGTGGAAAGAGAGGTTCCCGTGGCTCTACCGCTCGCCCTGCCAAGAAGACTGCCGAAGAGCTCGATTTGGAGATGGCAGATTATTGGGAGAGTGGAAATGCTGCAGGTGGAGAGACTGGTGGTGACAACCAAGCTGCGAATGCTGCAGCTCAACCAGCCGCTAACGGAGATGCAAACATGGATGACGAAATCTTGGTATGTACAAACGTAACTCACATGATTTTACAAGGTTGCTAATCTATTCTTAGTAAAATCTTTTCTCGTCAGCCCTGTAAGAATATTTACGGGGGAAGAAGCAACTATATTGAAAATACTTCAGCATCCTGCTCCAACTACCTACTTTACGCTTATGTCCATTGTATTACTGCTACTTCCTCACGCTTCCTTTTTGCGATTTACTAGCTGGGGTTTCTTTTCTACAGTGGGGATGGTTAGGGCATAGGAGTAGAGAAATGACAATGAGTTTCCGTAAATAATGGTTTAACGATGAGAGCGAGGGTCGCTCCTTTTGAAATTGTATTCGAGCACTAGTATCACAGAAATGGATATTTCTTCCCTCATCCTTGCTTCCATAGTTTTGCAATTCACGTGTAATTCATTCCTATAACATTTCAATATAACGATTGTGTGTTTGACTATGTCTTTACTATATCCTCTCCTTAAATTGAACAGGAGCGTGCCGTCAGGCGAAGCGGTTGTGGGAAAAAATAATGAATATGAATGAATCATGGAGGAACAATGTGTACTTGGCACTCGCTGGCTCCACGCATAATCTGATCTGCACAAGAAGTGAAATCGTGTATGGACTCTTAACACATTGATCTTCAGCCTGAGCTACTTTTTCCAAATGCTTGAATTCCTCAAAAATTTGCCATAAATCACACCACTACAGCTCATGCTTAATTCTTGAGTTGGGGTCGGATGTGTTGCGTCGTTGAGCCGATCCATACTCGTTTTATCATAGGATTAGGTGCGCAGCGCATCTGAAATGTAGAGAGGATAAGGTTATGATGTTTATGTTTCGAGATTTGGGGTTTGGGGTTTGGGGTTTGGGGTTTTGAGTGTGGGTTTGTTGGGCGTTGGATGGTGGGTAGGGGCTGGGAATGGGGATGGGGATATTCTGTGCTTGTATTAGAGTCATAGAAATACTTGGTAGTCATTCATTATCTATGAATAGATCATATACCTGGTAGGTAAATGATACTACGACACTCTGTTTTCGTTATTCACTCTCGAGGTATAAATAAGAATCCTTGTTGAGTCATCGATTTCTATGCATTGCCTTCTTACTCAAATGATTCCCCTGCAGCCTTTCTTTCCTTCTTTTACTCAACACATACTTTTGGAGATAAAAGTTTTCCATTCACATCAAAGACACACACATACCAAATATCCTCACGTCAAGCAATCCGAACTCCCTCGCTAGCTTACTCCTACATTTCGAGTCATATTGTTTCTATTTTATCCGTCCAACCTAAGCTTAGATAATAATATTATCACTCGATTGTACGATACCTTTCTAATATCTGCCCCTTGGTTCATATTCTGGTGGATGTTAGGTGTCATTTGTAAATAACTTTCTGGTGTTCAAACTCCTTTCTGTTCTTATTATGATAGGGACGTTGATAAAATACAATAGATACAAGATACGCCCCGAAATATATCGAGAGTAGCCAGCCAATTCTACTCAAACAGTATTATTCCAAATCGAAACGTTTACGTCGAGTATCACTCATAAGAGATCTTCGTACAGTTTAAGGTACTTGATTCTACCCGTCATGCCATACGAGCTAGAGGGGGTCTGGCAACCAGCCGATTATCAGCCGGATGGAAGTCGTCGCTTGAAAAACTATGAAAAAAGAATTGACTTCGAAAGATGGTTATCAACTAGAACTTCAGAAGACTCAGAGATACAGGTTGGAGAAGGAAAAAGAGGACGATGAGATAAGAGTAAGAGATATAGCAGCATATGAAAAACAGAGTCTGGAAAGGGAGGTTGACCGTATGGAAGAGCTAGGCCGCGGAAAGAGAATAAGAAGCGCTAGAAAGCTCGCGAGGAGATTTGCAAGGAACGGGGCACACCATGGGATCATGGAAGGAAGAATTTTGATTTAGCAATATGTGCATGGCATAGCGAAGATAAGTGTGAGACGGAAGAAGAACGTGAGGATGAGAAGAGGTGGAATAGAAAGTTGAAGCCAGCAACACGCTTTCAGGGGGCTAAATCTTCAAAGGAGATTGAGGAGACCATGAGAACGGAGCATGAGGCCGAGATAAGGATTAAGGAAGACGAGAAACGCAAGAGGGAATTGGAGAGATGGCATAAGTTTGATGCAATGTTCAAGGCAGAGGCAGATCGTCGACGGAGGAGCTGACAAGAGCCGCTGCTGCCGCTGCCGCCGAAGGTTATCCGTGTGTTCAAAGAGAGCTCGGTGACGCTCATAGACGTTATTGCATGCCTTCGAGTTATACCTTTGCTAGTAGGAGCATAGACTGTCAGGATTGCAAAGATGACGAAGAGATGGCAAGAAAAATGGAAAGATCTAAAAAAAAGGTAAGAAATAAAGTGGAGATAAATTGGAGGAACGTGTAAAATTCCCACTGGCTTTTATGCTGGATAAAATGGCAGTTGTTGATTATTTTCATGTATTCTTAATTTAACTTGAGTGTCTTCCAAGAATAGAGCGTGACTTCCAAATCATAACCTTCTTTTTTGTCTGGTTGTCTAGCAGATGCGTCAACGTCCGTGCACCGACAGCCGGCACTAGCCTTGAGCTCACTTCAGCAGCCTTGTGTTCACCGAAAGCTATACACTCAACTCCTACAATCCGCTATGCGTGTGATTGATTGTTGATATGGCTTTAACTTCTGTAGGTTCAATTATATCATTTAATTTTGATTTTACTAACAATTTTAGTGGAAAACGTTCGATTTCTTCGAGGTCAGCCAAGTTAAACCGCCAGATGATGAGAGTAAATCTATCTTCGAGAACAATGAAATTAGCTGCGTATGCTCCGGTTCCGAGAACCTCTTCGTCGGAAGTTATGATGGCACTGTGCGAATCTTGTCCTCAAGTTTTAAGATTCTGCGAACATTCCTAGCACACGATATTGGGTCAATAACACACATGAAACAAGTGGAAGGCACATCCTTGCTAGTTACAATAGCTGTGGGTGGGAATGTATAGTGACACAACATCAGAGACTGATGTATTCTAGGAAGATTTATCACACGAACCAGTTCTGAAAGTATGGGCATTGGACAAACCTGTGAAGAAGACTGGTCTACCGACATGTCAATCGACCTTGGTAATTCAAAATGGAAGGAAACAGTTTCCTGTCAGTGGCATATCTACGGATTCTAGATACTGGCTAATGCATACCAGATATCTGCTTTCACCGCAATGGATGATCTTTCACAATTGGCCGTTGGCTTTGGGAATGGAGCAGTGACCGTTATAAGGGGAGATTTGATCCATGATAGGGGAGCTAAGCAAAGAACAGTACATGAATCCGAAGAACCAATTACTGGACTTGCATTTCGCGAAGAAGAACGACTCATTAATTTGTACGTCGCCACAACTTCAAAACTTGTGAAGCTTGTGATATCAGGAAGAACTGGTCAATCAGCTAGACCTGTTGAAGATTCCGGATGTGGTGTGGGTTGTATGGCGGTGGATAAAAAGAATAGTGACATATTGGTAGTCCGAGATGATGCTATCTATTACTATAGAGTCGACGGTCGAAATTCCTGTTATGGTTACGATGGTTCGAAAAGCCTGGTAGCAGTTTATGGGGATTATGTTGCGATAGTCTCTCCCCCCGCTACATCAATCACGACAAAATCCAGTACCCTTCGGCGATTTGGTGGGGGCCATGCAGATGATTTATTCAACACGTCGACATTTACCTTATTGGATACTGATCTCAAATTTGTGGCCCACTCCGAATCATTAGTTTCACACGTTAAAGACTTATTCATCATTTGGGGTGATTTATTTACATTGACACTAGATGGAAAAGTTAGTAGTCCCAGTCGATGTATTGATTGGAGCTGACAATATATTAGATACATCGTTATCATGAAAAACCATTACAACAGAGACTTGAGACTCTGTACCAAAGGAATCTTTACGTTCACGCAATCAATTTGGCTCAGAAGGCTGGTATGGATTTCAAGCAGCAAAACATAATTTTTCGAAAATCAGGAGACTTTTTATATCAAAAAGGAGACTATGATGGTGCCATGCAACAATATCTAAAAGCAATTGATAGCACGGAGCCATCACAAGTTATTCGAAAAGTATGTTGGTGCCTATGATTTTTGTTAGGCTATGGCTAACACTCTTAGTACCTTGATACTCAACGTATCCACAATTTGATCGAATATCTTGAGGAGCTTCATGAACATCACAAAGCAACAGCTGATCATACCACTTTATTGTTGAACTGTTACGCTAAATTAAAAGATATTGATAAACTGGAGAAGTTCATCAAATCTCCAGGCGATCTTAAATTTGACCTTGATACCGCTATTACAATGTGCAGACAAGGTGGTTACTATGAACAAGCCGCATACCTTGCAACCAAGCATGGTGAACATGAGTTAGTAGTGGACATATTAATAGAAGACTCGAAACGATACCCAGAAGCTTTACAATACATATGGCGGTTAAATCCTGATTCTGTAAGATTATTTCCGCAGTGATTAGAAAAATATGCTGACATTTTAAAAGGCCTATCCAATTCTCATGAAATATGCAAGAGTTCTTTTGGGACATTGTCCAAAGGATACAACACAGATCTTCATTGACTACTATACAGGACATTACAGGCCAATGAAAGACGTTGTTATAACATCAGAAGCACCGGTACAACATGCTGGATATGCTGCTGGTGCCGCAGGTGTTGCCGTCAATGCTGTTGCAAATATGAGAGATTTAATCCCACTTCCTTTTATGAATACGTCCACTATCACTTCACCCGCAACAATAGGCAATGTTCATTCTACACCAGCCGATGGTCAGGTGATTGAAGTTATTGAACCACCACCACCAGTTTACAATCCACCACAACCAAGGACCGCCTTTTCTTCTTTCGTGGATCATCCAGAGGAATTCATTGTATTCTTAGAGGCATGTCTTAAAGATCCGGGTTTGAAGGAACGTGATAAGATTGATCTTTACACAACTCTATTTGAGATGTACCTCCACAAATCAAATCAGAAGAATGGACGCAATCGAGAAGAATGGGAAAGTAAAGCAAAGAAACTAATTGAGGGTGAAGATATCCCAATCGACATTTCGAATGTACTCCTACTTTCCCATCTCTCCGATTTCAAGGATGGTACCACTCTCGTCCGTGAACAAGCTGGTTTACGTTTCGACATCTTTCGATCGTACACTGCTGCAAAGGACACTGCTGGTGCAATTAAAGCTTTACGCAAGTATGGTCCTGAAGAGCCACAATTGTATCCAGCAGCTCTAGCATATTTCACATCAGATCCGAGAATTTTGGAAGAAGCAGGAGATGAATTGGATGCAGTATTAGAAAAGATTGATACTGATGGACTCATGGCTCCACTGCAAGTGATTCAAACACTAAGCACTAATGCAGTAGCTACCATGGGCATGATAAAAACCTACCTTCAACAAACAATTCAACGCGAACGCAAAGAAATTGCCACCAATCGTCGCGTCATCAATTCTTATCGTACAGATACTCAAACTAAACGACAAGAAATCACTGAACTCTCCACCAAACCTCAAACTTTTAATGCAACTCGCTGTTCTTTTTGTGGCATGCAATTAGATCTTCCCACGGTTCATTTCTTGTGTAAACATAGTTTCCATCAAAGATGTCTAAAGAATGATGATGAAGGTAATGTGGAAGGAGATTGTCCAACTTGTAAAAAGGAAAATGATACAATCAAGGCTATTAGGAGAGGTCAGGATGAAACTGCGGAAAGACATGATTTGTTTTTGGATATGCTGGGGAGGAGTAGGGATAAATTTGGGACGGTGGCGGAGTTTTTTGGGAGGGGTGTTATGGAGGTTCCGGGGGTGGAATGAGGAGGGAGGAGGGGAGAGGAGAGGGATGATGTGGTAAGATAGAATAGGCTAGGTTGATATTAATGAGGGAATTGAAACTAGTTCTTGTGTTCTTCCACTATGTGTCTTTTTATATGTTTGGCTGTACGTTTTATTTGAAAATTTAGAGGTGATACCAGCTATTCCAATATCCCATCACCCACCTTACACAATTAATCATAATTCTTTTATCTTTATTAGTATTAATATAAATTATCTCATAAAAGAAAATAATATACATATATAATATAAATCATCAAGCTTTCTCCATCGCAGATTTGAAAGTCCCCGTTTAGAAAAATCACTCCTAGATCCCGGATTTAAGAAAACTTAATTAAATTCTTTTTTATAACTTGGTACTTAATTATGGATTTTGACACTTCAATTCAGATTTCTTCAAAAGGAAGGATGCCTGAAATTTGAAATTAATTATAGATGTGCAACAAAAAGTTATTCAAGTGATCTTCGTGGTAGGAATTTAAAAGGTTGTTGTAGTGGTATTTGAGGATTGCTGAAGCTAATAATTTAGTGATAGCTTTTCTGTTAATATTTGACGAAGAAGAAGAAGAAGGATGGGGCTTGTAAGAATAAGATCTGTTATTTGAGGTTATAGATGTGTAATATAAGTTATTTAAGGGATTTTAATGGTAGGAATCTAAAAGGTTGCTACAGTGCTGTCTGAAGATCAGTCAAACTAATGGTTGATAGCTTTTCTGCTGAGACTTAGCAGAGAGAGGGAGAATGAGGCCTAAGGATGAAGCTTGTGATATGGAATCATAGATGTGTAATTTACCCCACCCGAGGACTCTCAATGGGGGATATCAAATGGCCACTCTAATACTTCTTAATAGCATGTGAAATGGGAGAATTAGTATACTTATCAGGACTCATAACTTTAGCCTTTCAAATTCGAACTTGTAGGGATGAAGTCTGTGATATGGAATCACAGATGTGCAACATATTCCTTTTTAGATATTCTTATTCGTAGACTTACTGGAAGATATCGAAACTAGGAGAAGGGAAACATCTTCTCACGTCATGCGGCTAGTAAATTATGAATCATTATAATAAATTCCAAAATTGGAAAAATACTTGGGTAGATTTGTGACATGAGCCTTCAAGATAAAAGGTCCTGAATGGTTGGTTTGGAATAAGCCGGCTTGTTTAAATCATTCGTAGTTGACGAACTAGGAAAACCAGAACATATTATCTTGCATTACTCGGCTCTTCAGCTTTTAGTTTTTCGAAATCTGTCCACAACCAGTAAAATATTGGAGGATATTTGCAAGATAAATCTTTTCAAAGACTCTGGGTGGTAGATTTCCCGGTGGGTGTCAACTCAGAGGACGGATATAGAACATGATTAAATAGAAAAGGCACCCGATTAGATATGGAATAAGGATATTTTAAGTGTACACTAGATAGTTGAACAACCAATTCAGGGTAGTTGTTTGTAGTTACTGTGACAAATATATTAGGTTATTCCATTTCAGGTCAAGCAGCTCATAGATTTTGCTCACTTCAAGGGATGAAAGTTTAAGTAAAAACTTAGTATCAAACACAAATATTCTCAAGGACTCTGAATGGTAGAAATAAAAACATTATTCCGCAATTAAGAAATAGTAGTAGTTGCGCCCAAATGAGGCTCAAAATGTCAGTTTGTCAAAATGTATTCCACAAACAGGAAAAATATTCGTAGATCTGCAAGAAGTCCTCATTCAAGCTTTTTGACTAGTCAACCACTGTTGACCAGTCCAGAAGATAAGCCTATGGATTTGCTAATTTTAGAGATCGGCACGATTCATACTCTATTCAAAAACCTTACTTGCAGATGCCCCTATTAGGGAACCGGATCATTAACCGGATAATTTTGAGCCCCAACCTCGCTTACAGAATGTTGTCTTGTAAGGATATGGCTTGCAATATCAATTTTAGACATGCAACGAATAGTTCTCGAGTCTTTGAATGGTTGATTTTTAGACGCCAGTGAGAAACAGGTTCATAGTAACTGGATCTAGGAAATCGGATCATCAATCGAGTCATCAGGCGGATAATTTGACCCTTCAACCCTACTTTGCAGATGGGCACTATATATAAACAGAGCTAGATTACAACAAAGCATAATAAGTATTATCTTCGTTATTATAAGCTTCCTTTTTTGCGTCCATTCGTTTATTATAAACTTCCACTAAACCTCGTGCCTCTCTAGAAAAAATCATTTGAAAAACGTGAATGATAAAGAGACCTAGATTATAGTACTTTATGGATTTATAAAGATCAAATCCCTAATCGTGCATCTAGCCATGAAGTACAGAATTCCTTCCTAAACGGCGTTGAGTTTGCGGGGGCAAAGCTTTAAGTCGGTCAATGAAATCTACTACTTTCCTCCATTCCACTTTATTTCAAGGTAGTTTCTGAAAATTCCAGGAAAATGTAGGTAAAATGCTTATACATACTTTTATTTATACAATCTAATATGCGATCTTGTCAAATTGGGAGTATAAATATTTAAGGTTTATACCTCTCCTATATAAAATTCGTCCTACTTTCTGTCCGCACGAGTACCCACCCTACTTACCACAAAACTCTTAACTTGTAAGGATGTGGCTTGTACGTTAGAATGCAGATGTGCAACATTATTTATCCGGAAAGTATGAGTGGTTGATTTCAACAAGCCGATCATCGCTGCTGGAACTAAAGAACCGTGATATGAAACGGACTCTTTTACTATTAATCTTTCATAATTTAGTTTTCTGTCGAGCTGAGGCTTGTAAGGGTGAGGCTTGTAAATAGAATTGTAGATATGCAACAAAGGTATCATGAAGCAAATGAGTGGCCGATTTCTCAAGGCCAGTTTTAGACTAACTAGTCGATATCGGATCTAGAGATATATATAATGAAACTCATGTTCTTTATTTATTTTTTGGCACATCGTACTTAATTTATCTGTAAAGTAAACCTTGTAATGATGAGGCTGGTAATAAATAATTGTAGATGAGCAAGAAAGGAATTCTGAAGATTTTCCCTAGAGAGAAATTAGTCTGTGGCTATTAGAGTCAAGGAGTTAGACGATGAACTGGATTATGAAGATGATAGACTGAATGATTAAATCTGAATTTATGGCACATGAATCGCAATCTTGTTAGGATGAGGCTTGTAATAGTGGGATGTAGTTATACAATAGAAGTCATCCTGAAGATTACGAGTGGCTAAATTGAAAGGCTGGTGAGATATTATTTTATCGATATTTATGAGGGCTAAAATAGTATCGTTGAAAGGGTTATAGTTTTAGTTGTGAAGAGGGTTGTATTATCATTATTGGAGCTACGATTCCTGATTAAATAGACCCATTCATCATCGTAATTGCCATATTAGGCCTAACATTGTGAAGTCGAGTATGATTCTTCAACCGTTGACTCAAACCTTGCTGCAACTTGTCAGGATACAGCTTGTAATATATAGATTCAGATGTGCAACATATGCAATTCTAAGGATTATCAGTGGCTGAATGTAAAGGCCAGCGAGATACTAGTCCATGGATATCCATTAGGGTTAAGAAATAGTATTATAAAGTGAACTATTATTCTTTAATTATCAATTCAAATATTATGTACTTTTCAGGATACAGCTTGCAATGCATAAGTATAGATATGCTACAAAATCATTTGGTGATTGTGAATGCCTGAATCCCACAGGTCAGTGACATACTAGTTAGTTCATGGCTACCAAAAACTAAAGGAACCAATTATGGAATAGATATCTACTTCTGAGCTTATGGCTCATCTGTTGAATTAAATTGCTGGGATGAAGCCTAAAAATTGAGAATGTAGATATGCAAAAAAATTACTTGAAGATTGTGAATGGTTGAAATCCAAAGGCAATCCAGAAGCCATTGAATAATAGCTTGGAGCTAGATAATTGCAGTATAGACCGGATTCTTAACTCCTGAGCGTTTCGGTCTTATAATGGAAGTTTTCAGGGTACAACCTGTAATATAAAAATGTAGATATGCAACATAAAGTTATTTGAAGATTGTGGATGGTTGAACTTCAAAGGCAGATCAAAAGGCGTTCGATGGCAACTTACAGCCAGAGAACTGTGGTGAAGACAGGATCCTCAACTTTTGAACTTATGACTCGTGAACTTAAACTTGTAGGGCTACAGCTTGTAATATGATATGTAGATATGCAACACAAGTCTTTTGAAGAATGTGAATGGTTGATTTCCAAGGCCGATGGGATATTATAGCATGGTTTACGCAACCTAAGAACGTAATAATGAACCGGAATACCAGTTCCCTATTTGCCGGTCTACGACCGGCATGCCCTCCAGGACACAGCTTGTTATAAAAAATGTCAGATATGCAACATACATCTTGCGAAGTCCTTCGATAATTGGTCTTGGGGAGGGTGATTGGATAACAATAAATAAATAACAAAATTATTTAATAACAGTGGGAAATTTAATTGTATTTAGTTTAAGACTTATAAAATATGTGAATAATATAATAATATTAAAATAGTAATATAATAACATTGAAATTGATCTTGATCTACTCATGTTATTAAAGGATTATCTGAATAATTTGTATTTAGAATTTTATAAAATTCTATATAAATCATTTCAATATAATATAAGATCCAAGTTTTATATAATGATAAAATTTAATATTAAAATAATACAATTACTACATCAACATGAAAATTCAATCATTGGTTCGATTAATATTGTTAAGTGATTTAATAACTTAAAACAAATTCTCAAAACTGCGTTTCAAGATCGACAAAGTCCTGGTTAACAGCTCCAAGGGCCAAGACACCGACCGGGTCATGAAACTTCAGTTTTTGGACCAGAATTCACAAACTTGTCGGATATATCTGGTTATACAAAATATAGACATGAAACAGAGTCTTTTTCAGGACCGTGACTAGTCGCTTTTCACAGTTGGTTCGAAAGAATCGTTCCTAACTGCTATAACTGAGAAATCGGGTCCATATCTTTCTCGATTATACAATAAAGAACAAGAGAATTGCCAGGATAGATCTGGTAATATCAAGATATAGAAGTGCCACAAATATTTCTTAAACAATTGAGTGAGAGGTTGAAAGTCGAGATTTATTAGATTTATTAGATTTATTAGATTTACTAGATTTACTAGATTTACTAGATTTACTAGATTTAATTTTAATATAATCTTATTTTAACCAGAGACTTGAGAGAGGGTCCCAGCGGGGTGGTGTTCTTGTGATTTCATTTTGTATAGAGATTAAATAGAATGGTTTAATAGATGGAATAGATTCAATGGTTAGATTATTGAATAGTTTGAATTGAGAATAAAGAAAGAGTAATAGAAATACAAAGACCCCTTTAAGTATTCCCTACTACTGTGTATAAATGAAATTAAGATCAGAGATAGAAATTTCCCAACACCTTAAAGAACCTCCGTCACCTCCAAGCACCATTAAATCCCCCGGTGCCATCGACGCCATGAACGCCTCTAAAGTTCCGGACACCCACAACAAATGAAATAAAAATCAAAGAGGACAGTTTAAACCCTTCAGAGTGGCTCTAAAACATCTCCTACCCATCAACGCCTCTCACGCCTCGCACGCCTCTGACGCCTGTCACGCCTCTCACGCCTTCAACGCCAACACCACCAATCCACATCGCGCATAAATCTCATCACTTAATGACCATTAACCCCATCCCCATTCCCATTCCCATCAATCTTAGCACCCGACACCATATTCTCCCTATCCTCCTCCGGAACCGGTCCCAAACGTCCATACTGCCACTCCGGCAACGTCATACCCGTCTGATCATGAATAGTCGACATGAGCGGTGGAAGCATCTGGTACAAATTCCTAATACTATCCAAGCCACCCATATTAATCCCCTGACCCTCCGCCGACCCAGCAACTGCACTTCCCGCACCACCAGTCTGAGCACCCGTATTCCAAATCGTCATCTTAGGGTTCAAACCTCGAACTGCTTCGGCGTTGGCCTTGGCTAGTTCTTGGTACGTGCCCCGTTCAATCATCAGGTATTGCATTAATCCCTGTGGACCGCCCATCGCTCTACTCATATCGGCATATGCGACGGCCATGGCACTCATACCTGCTGCTTCCTTTTGTTGTCTTATGAGATGTGCGTCGGCGGCTCTAGCCTCGGCGATATATTGAGCTTCAGCTTCAATTTTGATTTTATAAGCTCTAGCTTCAGCGGCTTTTTGCTCGCTGTAAAATTCAAACTCTGCACGCGTCTTCTCCTTATATGCTCTAGCATCAGCCGCTTTCTGCTCACTGTAGACTTTGGCATCAGCGGCCTTTTGTTCACTGTTAGCCCTTGCATCCGCCAACTTCTGCTGACTGTAAAACTCTGCATTTGAGCGAGCCTGCTCCTCATAATTCTTAGCATCAGCCGCTTGTTGCTTTGCTTCACGAAGAATCGTAGCCTTAACAACATCGGAGGCACGAAGACGCTCAAGTTCCGTTTGGGCGCGCTTAACTTCGACCTCTCTGCGGAGTTCTTCGTCGCGAACTTCGGTGGCACGTGTAGCCTCTTTAAAGGTTCAATATCGTTAGCTTGTCATCATAACCCAGTTACGACTCCAAAGAATTTAAATCTCTTTATCTCCCTGGAGTATCTCAATGTCAAGGTTTTGTGGTACTAGCTTCTCGACTTTTTCAGAGGAATCCAGGTGAGATTCGAGTATCAGGATTTGCAAACTTCCAACTCTGAAGGAGCTTGGAGACTTTTCGAGACAAGAAATTAGGAAAATTTGGGGATCCTCCGCGAAATAAGAATTGATTGACGACTTACCGATTTGAGCAACGTTAACATCACGGTTATAAGTAGTTTTGCGTGTTGCAAGTGTAGCTTCAGCTTGGGCCTTCTCACTATCACGTTCTGTCTTTTGAACAGCCGTGTCTGCTTGAACTTTGGCGAGTTCTCGGTTTTGCTCTGCTACACGTTGTGCCTCTCCAACAGTACCCAAGCGTTGAGCTTCTGCTACATCAATACGGGCTTGATTGATAGCACCCTCGTGGGCTTTCTTGCTAAGAGATGCAAAGTAGTTTGAGCCTGGCGCATCTTTAAGTTCCTTGACGTTGGCATTGTAGATTCTGAGACCGAATTGTCCCAACTCGGATTGAATGTTCTTGAAGATGTCTTTCTTGAATGCTTCTCTCTCTGTGAAGATCTTCTCCATTGACATTGAACTGACGAGAACACGGGTTTCACCCTCGATAATACCAACGACGATCTTTTTAAGATGTTCACCAGGATTAGAATTGTTCTTCGCCTGCCCCTCAGCCAACAGCATCGAGAACTTCATAAGTGAATCGTTAGCATCCTCTGCGTCCGTTTCGCGGTTACGATCGGCGGTACGGGCATTATCACCTCTGCGGTTGACATCAGGACCGATGGTAAATACAACAGGAATGGCCAATTGGAGTTTCTCTTTTGTCATAGCCTGAAGGGATAACTCATAGTCGCGAGGTTGAATACTAAAACGTTGAACCTAAAACTTATCAGCAGTGCGATATGGAAGAGGGAGTGAGAATTCACCTTTTGGAAGGGCCAAATGAAAGCACTCTTGCAAATTTTGACAGTTGCGATCCTCGCGCCAGTAATGGCGAGGTACTATAGGAGTTAGTGATGTGATGTTTAAGTATGCTAAGAATGGTTCTAACCTCATTGGGGGAAGCTATCTGATAATGCATGATGATGTTTGTGGTAGTGATTCTCTGAAGAATCCAAACAGAAACCCAGAGGAGATTGGAAGACTTTATAGAAGTTCGAAGAGGCAAAAAGGTGTTAATCTAGAATGGGTTAATCATACAGTAAATGTCATATTCCTGTGAATATATTACCGGATACCTACTTATTCCTAGTTTATCAAAAGGTGTGAATGTTAAGAAGAGTCCGGAGATATCCGGTGGTTTTAGAATGCCCCCAAAAGTTCCTTAAGATTGCTAAATGCGTTAATAGTGAACTTTTGCTGACTCATGACAACTCTGACCACTGACCGAGAGGTCTAAATAAATATAGGCATACCGGTGCAAACGTAGATCGGCAGAGTGATGATCTACACTGCAAAAGATCCAAACCGCGAAGTGTGATAGGTCACCTGACTTTGATAAGCTTTCTTAGCAGAGATATAAGTTCAAATAGCGGAAAACACTAGTAAAATGGCGTGAGAAATGTTGGCACCCCGCAGTTGATGATCATAAAAATGTAATAATGTAGAAGTACCGATAGAAAATGAATTGAGCAAAAGAATGACTTTATATATCTTTAAATGTGCTGACTGGGCTGAAAGTCCTGCGTTACTAACCACCCCATGTTTGAGGCATGGCAAACATTCTCATTGACTCACTGAGGAATTCTGACTCAAAAGAGCTACCGATATTTCGCCAACATGTCAAATGGCTTGGTGCAGGGCGGACGCAGCATATGATAGATTAAGCATGGAGGAGAAATCCAAATGTCAGAGTCTTGACATAAAGAGGGGAAAGCCTGGTCCCAAGCCAATAGCGTTAAGGGCGCAATTCATTGATCCAATGATGATGCTGTTGCACCGCCGCCATTCCGACCGCTGAGACTCAGTAGAGTAAGAAATGGGCTGTTTCATTCCGATGGTAAGCTTGAAGCATTGGTGCGAGCATGCAACTGAACAATCGTTTATCGGTATACATCATCAATTCGCATTGCTTTGAGAGTGTTATCCTGACCGTTTGACGTTGTGCCGAAATCGGCAATCGGCTCAGATATGGCTCAGATAATGATGTGATGTCACAACTTGGCAAGGCTGGCTAGGGTGCCAAGCACTTCAGGCCCCTAGACAAGCCCCTAAACTTGACGATCTCCACCCCGGATCTTCTAGCGAGCTTCTAGAAAGTCCCAGCTGACAATCACAACTCCACACAGCCATCGTCATATCTCACCTAAGGTTTTCCTATGGAGTCATCCCAAAATGGTTTAGATCTTTTTTGATCGAGGCAGATAACGTTAAATGGACTTCTAATTACCCCATGTTTGAGAGCCTCTTCTGCATATTAGGCAGAGATAAATAACGCATGTTGGGTGTTGCACAGCCTAGTGAATTATCTGACTACCGCCATCCAGCTGTGAGGCTTCAAGTCCTGTGTTTTGTGAATGTTCAGAATCTTTCGATTCATATCAGTACTATGGGTATCACATAAACGATCACATGGCTCACGTCATCGAATAATAAACTTCCTCCTGTGAATCCGGTCCCGTGACTATTGGCCTAGTAGTAGCGCTAGTCAATGGTCTACAGCACCAAACCTGACGGCGTCGTCAAGGACTTCGTGCTGTCGATCAATAATTGCGATAATCGGAAACTTAAATCAACGTATCGACCTTCAGCAAAGAAAAGCAGATACTCCCCACTCAAATCTTCATCACCTCGATCACTCTCAAAAGTATCCACATTTTTGCGATCACTCGTCACCATGGATTCCAAACTTCCAGCATACGAGGATGAAGATAGATCAGCTCCTCCATCATATCTCGACTCCTTATCATCAGCTTCTCCTGAAAAACCCCAGACATCGGGAGCATCAACATCCAAATCAACATCCTACGGTTCCCAAATCCAATCCCAGCTCAACAATCTCAGCACCCAATTCAGTTCACTCCAAACACAAAAGTCTCTCCTCGCGCACGCCCAAGAAGAGAAAATCCTCTCTCATCTTACAACTCAAATCCAGATCTACCTATCCGAATTCGCAAACACTGGCGTAAGAAAAGGCACATTGATTTTGATACCAGCGCAATGTCTTCAGAACGAAAAAGCACAACCACTTGATTTTGATCAGGAGGATAAGAGTGCATATAATGTATTTGTGGAGGTGGGGGATAAAGAAAGTCTTAATGGTGGGACATGGTTCTGGGAAGATGAGGAAATGGCAGAACGATTAGCTACGGCGTTGAAACCGCGTACGGAATTACCTTCCAGGGAAACCGTTGCGCAAAAGGGTTCCAATGCCGGAGTACTTAGCCAAGGAGTAAACAGATTTTGGAAAAAGAAATCGAGCACGAAAAATGTGGAGGGACCTGTGTTGGTCGAGGATATGAAGGCTAGCTCAGCTGTTGTGGAGCCAAGGGACAAGGTACACATGGAAGTCAACGCTGATGAAGTTGTGTTTGAATATGAGAATGATTTTGGTCTTTTAGAGACTCAACGAGGATATGGTGTCGTACTTTCTTTTGAGATTCTTACCACGAATTAATCGGTAGTTGTAATTCAAAGCACATTATGGGTATAAAGACTGTTCTTTAAGAACTGCTTGAATATGCCCCGAATTTCTCCTTTCATTCTATGCGACGTCCTGATAATTTGCATTGAACACCAATAAATATTAGAAATCTATCTCTCCCTATATCTGTTCAATCAAATTTTATTGTTTAGTGTTTCGTTTCAACTTCCCTTCTGCAAGAAATTGAGGATTCTTGATGTATGTCCATGTGCACGAGCTTGACGATAAAAGTATGAAGGTCCCGCGGATTTCAATTGTAGATCTTTATTTGCGTCATGTCTTTGTAACAGAGAGGCCATCTTTGATTAATGTGTGGCCTATGCTAGGTTTAATGATATGCTCCAATATATTTAATCAATAATGTTTATGTAGGCACCAAGTTCAATCAAAATTGCCACTGCCACCAGTTATCGATTGAATATTACCTCGTGTGATGGCTGGATGCCTTTTCCAATTGCATTAGCTTCTCAACTGCCACACATTAAAAATCTCATAAGGTTGACCTATCCACCTATCCACTAGCAGTTACCTCTCTAAGAGAGATTCCATAGTTCCCCGCTGAATGTTGACATCACAAGGAACCTCCTACCATGAAGTTCGCCATTTCGTCGTTTATTTTCTACCCTGTCATATCATCATACTGTTGGATCCTGAATTGGAGTATTCGGACTCATATCTTGATCTTAAAAGACTCTTTTCAGTATATAGAAGGTTGAATTTACCATGTCTTGTCATTTTAACCAATTTTGAAGCTGTATCCGCTCCACTGTTGACAGCGGCTACGCCTATATGTTTTTAACTCAGAGCTTAGTGGCAGTGCTTCTTAATTGAAGGCCTGAACCAAGGGCTTTGGACTATATCTTTATGTCTTTCCGCCCTATGAAATAACTCTAATGGTGGCGAAATGACTTCCTTCACTCTCCCCTGGCTGACTGCCACCCACAGCATTCCTCCACCCTGGAAATATATTCAAAATGTGTTTTTACTATGTATAAAGTAGTTCCATACGGTAATTATACCGATTTTCTCTTTTTTGTGCCCGATTTTTAGGAAAGTGAAGGGAGCAGCTGGAGATATATATATAATTATCTTCTTAGGCGGGCGATGCATAGTCTATGAATAATTTATGCAATAAAAACTAAAACGTACAACCATTCTGAATTTATCTTTAGTCAAATATGGTCGTTTTTGATACAGGGAGTAGATAAAATCACTCAATATAGTTTAAAGCTGGATATTATATCCTGTTACTGAAAAGTCTTGTTGAATTGTTGAAAAGCTAGTTAATAAACCACTAGTCAACTATTCCCTAACTCAACTCTATCATCCATCCATAATCTCCTCCATTGATTTTCTACACCACATCATACCTCACACCGCATCCGATGAGTTCCAACTCCATTCGCGCATTGCCAACTACTAAATCAGCAAAGCCACCACACATCCCATCTATCAGGAATAAAATCTCAAAAAACCAACCAGAATTTTCAGCTACCAAAGGCCTTGCACCTTCCAGCAAATAATGGCTTTTATTCTCCCTTTCCAGCCTTCTCCTTTTTTGCTTTAGCAGCTTTAGCAATGCATACTGAGCATGGGTTTCTAAAGAACAGGGCTTTTATGACCAGAATCAAGAGTACACACAAGCAGTACCAGGCAAAGATCATGAGGGTGCGGAAAGCGACAATTCTTGTGTATTCGTCTGCAGAAGGAACCATATAGCAAATATGCTCTCCTCTTAAGCGTTGCAAGAAGGCAAAATTGAGGGTCATGGTGCTTGTTGGTATTGGGGGGTGGGTTTCTTATGTTGATGATAGTTTGTTTTTTGAAATTTTGGACTAGAAGGAGGTGGTAATGTATACGTGTTGAAAACTATGAGGATGGAAATCTCAAAGTTGTGTTTAGATAGTTCTTTTCAATGACTAGATTTGGTGATTTGCTAGGAGATCAAATCCATGAAGGAGGAGCAATTTATAGAACAGATGATCAAGCTGTACAGCTACTCAGAAGGCTGCTTTAATACAGTCAGTTGGTGCGGCCTGTCAGTATTGTGAGCTTAAATTCCATTGTGAGCATGCCGGCAGGAGTAAGTTCATAGTATGATAGGTAGGGAGATGAATTATATGGTAGCAGATTCTATATGTGAGTTCTAGCTGGTCATTATAGGTAACTAGTGAACCTGATCATAGCAATAAACGTCAAATATGGCTCTCATATAAAGGATAATTTGACAATGCATCCCAAAGTACACTATATTATTAAACACAAGCCTTTCTTTTTCTGTTATCGCGTTCTAAAAAGATGGAGCCGTGACCTTTGCATCATTATATTCAGGAATTAATAAGTTGCCATTCTCCGTTCATATACCTGTATTCACTCCTATCATCCATAATAAACTAATCTTCACTTCGTCTCATCTAGCTACATAGATATTCAGACTTTTTACCTAATAACGATTTACACGCCCCTTAATACCTCTCGGTTAGATTCGATCTAATTAAAACCTTCATATATTCTTCCCGCAAGTCCAGCTCCCACGATTCTGTATCATCACGTTCTCAATTTTCTCAGTGGCATTTTATTAATTCCTCGAGTGAAGTAGCTTTTCGCATTTCTAATATTTCAGTTTCGTAAGCTTCTCCGTTCGTTCTATGTATGTACCACAAGCCTACTAATTCTCCTCATTTGTCTAGGGCAACCACATTGGTCAGCTATAATGCCCAGGTGATTGCGAGGAGGACCATCACAACAATAGACTCGCCAGGAAAGGGTTAGGGTTATGTCAGTCTTAGATTAGTGTAGGTGGTGTGATATCATTATGCCGCCTCCTTAACCAACACCTCAATGCCAATTCATTACTAAAACGCCGTACCGCAACTATCCACAGTGACAGAGAGTGACCTTTATGGATGCTTCATCTGTCATCGCATGACTTTGCTACGGTGAAGTAAAATCCCAATATATAAGATTACAAACTACTTAACTTCATAAATCTATGTACCTAGATGTAATTGATCTCACGAATTTGACCCTTGAATAGAAGCCTGTGCTCATAAATTTAAGATTCTGCAAAGTTAAATCTCGCTTAGACATCCTGCTATTCAAAGTCAAGAGTGGCTTTTTCTTCTTTAGTAGGGTATTATATCTAATAACTAGTAGCATGCGTGACATTCTTTCACCAGTGCTTAAGAGATCTCAATTTATTTTTCTAGGTACTTAGGTACATACGAGTTGCGAAGCCTAGGCTAATAATTTTACGAATTCCTGTTTTGAGCAACTTCGCTTCCATCCCGATTGGACCCAAGAAAAGCCATCACGAACTCCCCTCATTGGCATCACTGGCATCACTGACATCACTATATCTTCAAGCTGACTCTTCAGTTATTCGATGCTATTGTCGAAATGAATCGCATTTTTAAATTTGATTTTTGTGTACTCCATCGCGCGTCGTGTAGCATTAATTTTTCATTGTCTTAATTGAAGATCACGGATTCTATCCATCAAAACTACTTTTAAAACACCCTCGATTCGGCTTGATTTAATTGACTCTCACAAAAGAACTCTGCATCCAACTCATACGATACCACAGCCCACCGTCCCAATCCTTCAACCCTCCTACATCCCCCTAACCAAAACAAAACAAAACAAAAATGGGTCTCCCATACAGCAAACAAATCCGCCTCGCCTTCACCCAATCCCAAACCATGATGCAACGAGTGCAAACCGAAGTAACCCCCTTAGTAGCAGCAGGCTACCCATTAATAACCTCCGGTTTCGAAGTCCTCAAAACGACAAAAAATATCGCGATATTATTAGCCGTTGTACAGGTTTATACGGCGATTATGTTGACGGTGATACTAGGGGTGTTGGTGATGCTGCTGGTGGAGGTGAATCCGGAGTTGGAGGGGAGAGAGAGGTGGGTTACCTGGTTTTGAGGGGTGTGTGGGGTGGGGTGTGAGGTGGGGGTTGGGTGCGGTGGACGGGGGGTGTTGGTTGTAGGGGTGTGGCGGGGGGGGGGTGGGGTTGGAGGAGGAGGGAGGGGAGAGGGAGAGGGATTGTTGGAGGAGGAGGGGTGGGTGAAGGTGTGGAGGATGAAAGTGATAGAGAGAATAAGGAGAATGATGGAGGATGGAGATGAAGATCATGATGCAATGGATGATGGAAATGAAGAGACAATACATATATATACAAAATCAATAGTGATGGACAAGGAAAATATATTGTGAAGATATTGGGCTAGACCACTGACCATTATATGTGTACGTGTAGAGACATGCATTGAAATAATAGCATAAATCAAAGGATAAACATTTCAAGGATATCTGTAAGCACTTATCAACGATATGAAAGGACACTAGAGTTAATGGGAATAAAATCGTGGGGTGAGTGAGCAAGAAGAGTTTTGCAATATTCGACAATTATTTTGGTTCATAGTAGAGAAGTTATATGTGTAATTCATTTAAGTAGAAAAATGTGAATTGTGATAACATATTAAAGAGACATGGCGAGAAAAGAAAACCAATGCTAAAAGAAGTGAAATAGAAAATTACACGTGTATAGGAGTAAAGAAACAAATTATCTTTAACAGGATCCATCATGAGTGTGAAGGATAGAAACCAACCCCTTGTATATCTCTCGACTTTCCTGATTTCATAATCCAACTCCTTACTAGCCCTCCCCGCTCAACCCTAACCCCCTTTCTCCTCTGTCCCATCATCTCACTCTCTTCGAACACCACTAAGTGAAACCTCCTAAAATCCTCCACCCTTACCTCTAAATCCCCACCTTATCTGATGCGCAACCATAATCTTAACATCAAGTTCCTCCGCCCACTGCCAAACCAATCCCGGATTTTTCTGGAATCCCCTCGCCACAATCGCCAAATCCAATTCCGTCTCTTCCTTCTCCTCTTCCCCAGCAATTCCTGTCTTCCCACCCCTCCCCGTCAAAAGTGCCTCCGCCTGTTTCCCACTAGCAATAATCCCCACTGCACCAACCAACATCCTATCCCCCACCGCCCTTTTAATCACCTTTGCAAACGGAGCCTGATATCCAGGACCCGCCGTAATTTTTTGCGCAGGATGATTAGCCCCCGAACTAACATCCATAAGATCGACTCCCTTATCCGCCAATATCTGCGCCAATCGTGCTGAATCTTCTACTTTCCAGCTATCTTCCTCAAATCCCTCATAATCTAACCAATCCGTCGCACTAATCCTCAAGAAAAGCGGCATTGAATCCGGAATATTTTCACGGGTAAGTTCGACAATTTCAAGGGTCAAACGAATTCTATTCTCGAAACTGCCTCCATATTGATCCGTTCTTTTATTAGAAACCGGAGAACAAAATTCATGGAGAAGATATCCGTGCGCATTATGAATTTCGATGACGTCGAAACCAGCCTTTAATGCTCTTTCAAGAGCTGCTACCCATGCGTTTTTAAATGTTTGGATGTCTTCCAATGTCATTGCCTTGGGCACACAGTGGTTTCCGTCGAAGGGAATCGCACTTGGTCCTTTAACATTGTCGGGCCATCCGCCTGCATCTGGTGAAGCGATTGCAGCACGATCGAGCCAGGGTGCTACCATACTTGCTTTTCTGCCTGCATGACCTAATTGAATACCAATTTTCTGACCTTGGGAATGCGCAAATTCGACGATTTCTTTTAATTTTTCGCCCTGAGAATCAAGCCAAAGACCACTATCTTCGGGTGTAATTCGTCCTTCGGGTAATACGGCAGTAGCTTCTACCATTGAGAGACCGGGGCCTCGAGAAATTATACCGCCGAGATGGGCCATGTGCCAGGGGGTGAAATGACCGTTAGAAGCGGAGTATTGACACATTGGGGAGAGCATGATGCGGTTTTGGAGGGTGAGGGAGCGGATTTTTAGAGGAGTGAAGAGTTTGGGGGGATTGGGGGAGAGGGCTGTGCCAGAGGGAGGAAATTGGAGGGGTGTGTAAAAGGGGACCTAACTGATATTAGCAATTTGTATATGGGAGAGTGAGAAAGGGAGGACTTACACCTGGTGCAGCGGTATTGCGAAGACCTGGGCGTGGGGTACTGGTACCGCATGGAACACCATGCTGGGGATGGGGTGTTGGTGTCGATGTTGACATTTTTGTTTGGTGTTAATGTTTTGATCTATTGATTTGTTGTTCGGAAACTATATCAATTGATATAAAACGATCGATTGCAAAACTCGAGAAAATCCCAAGCTTAAGTATTTGCTTCCACACAAAGAGGGAACTGTTCCCCCCTCCCCCGCACTTTTGCGATGTACCAGATCATGACATCACATCTTCCTCTGGGCACTCTCCCAATTTTGATGAGTAACAAACGTGCATGATGCAGAGTACTCTAATTCGGTATCGTACGCCACAAGCTTGCTCAGGATTCTCGTAAATCATCTATCATTTGATAGAATTCAATGATTGTACCACATAGATAGCCGGGATAACTGGAGATATTTCGCGGGATGTTTTAACAATGACATTAGTAATCTTATTGCAGTAAAGTTAACCAATAGCATTGAAACTTTGATTCGGCATTTTGCCTGGCGAAGCCCGAAACATTCTTCTGCTCAAATACCGAACCGAGTATTGTCCGATAATCATGATTATAATAATAACTCTGTTATGATTATATATAGAGTAGCGCAAAATTTATTATCTAATAACTTTCACGTCGACTTAGTTATCGGCACGGATGCCTTTAAGCCGCAGACCCCGTACAGAGCAACATTGTCAATACCTATACGCATCAAATTTTCAGGCTCCACATTTGGACCTAAACACTTCGTATTCTGCAGTAAGTCACCATACAATACAAAAAAAGAAGAAAAAGAGGAAAAGAGAGATACAAGTAGAAGCTGCAGAACATGTATAGGTATGAGAGCCTTTTAAAAAATTCAGAAGGTTCATCATAGTCACACCATAGCTCGTAAAACCGATGAATCCTAGACGGTCGCATTCCTTGTGATCGAGCCTTCCTCACGTGTGGACAGTTCTTTTCAAAGCAGAGTTGAAGGGGATGGATACAGTTTCCTTCTGTCTGGGCCGGTGCTAGCAATGTTAGACGCGCCGTATTGGTTGGGTCGCCGGTGCACATAGTAAAGCCATTTCTTAGCTGTCCGATTCTTGTATGTATTCGATACAAAAAGTACATCACCTAGAGAAGATATATAAAAAGAAATCCACATTTAGAACTTCATTGGGAAATCAAGATTATTATTTTCCATGCAAAAAAATAACCGGAGAAAGAGGGAGTGGCTGGATCTTAGAGCAGACTTTGGCTTTATACAATAAAAACATACTATATGTTGATGTCAGGGATCTCCACTAAGAGCGACCTCTACTAACATAGACATTATAGACAAGATGGATACTCCGAATGCACGTTATCATATTGTTAGATATTGATGATTGGATTATTCACATAGATGTGATCTAGGATATGAGATATGAAACTTTGCAAACATCAAGAAATTAGAGGGGAAACATTTCGACAAAACGTTATGGTATTAATGGTAAATTCTCTCGAATACATATAAATCTCACTGATGCATTACATGATGACTTCATTGGTCACATCCTATTATCGTTAGCGATAGTTTCGAAAAGAATATCAGAAAAGAAATCTTACCCTCTTCAACTCTTTAAATGGTAAACAGACACAGTTCTGTACACGAACTTCATCACCAACACTACACTCCTTACCCAAAATAGTAATACTTTGAACCTTAATCCCGTTCTTGATAATACTTGTGGTATGGCTGTTAGCTGGTGTAGGTGTTCCCTCAACACGAGCCCAGGCGCCGACTCTACTGTTCCATCCAATGATAGAATAGAGAACACAAGCATCATGCTTAATTTCAGCATCCTCCAAAACAATGGACTCCTTTACTCTAGCACCAGCCCCAATGACAGCACGAGGACCGATCGAAACATTAGGTCCAAGTTTAGCGGTTGGATCGACATGTGCAGTCGGATGGATGAATACAGGTCCGAGGATATTAGCGGATGGTTTGGCCAATTCCTTGGATCCAGTTTGTGCTGCCTTTTGGAGGTATAATGCGTTGGCTGGGATAGCTGAGCCAGCGGTTTTAATTTGTCTCCAAAAATCCTTAGTCTCATGAACGAAGAATTGTTTGCTATCTGCAAGGTCGCTCAAAATATCTTGTTCCAATCTGAGAACTTCATTTCTTTGTACATCTTCTTCGTCTTGGAAAAATGAGGAATCGAGGTTCTCGGAGGATGGGTAGGAAACGAGACGTGGGCGGTCGGTACGACGCTTGATGGCAGTTCTAATGGAAGGGAAGATACATTCGGTTGCGAAGAGATAGACACCACAGTTGATCAAGTTTGAGATGTGCGATTCGGGCTTTTCAACGTAATGTAGAACTCGGCGAGTGTGTGAATCGGAAACAATGCAACCAAAGTTGCTGGCAGCATCCTCGCTGACACGGGTACCAAGAATTACAGCTTCAGCATCTCTGTCCTCAAATAGCTTAAGCATGTCGTTCAATGGAAATGAACAGCAAACATCGGCGTTAAGGACGAAGAAACGTTCTGGTCGCCCTTTAAGGATAGCATCTCTGAAATGATATAAACCTCCAGCAGTTCCCAAAGCTTGGTATTCCCTGAGGTAAACGATCTTAATTTGAGGGAATTCATGTGCGGCATCCTTAATGAAATCACGAAAGACGGACTCGTCGTAGTACCCGATCATGCATACTTCTTGAATAGAGGGGACCTTTGCGATGGCGGTGAGACAGTGCCAAACGATGGGATGGCCAGCAACTTCGAAGAGGGGCTATGAATGAGCACAGTTAATTGATTTTCTGAGCAGGAGGGGTAGGAAATGGATATACCTTTGGAAGATCCAAAGACAATGGCCTAAAGCGGGTTCCTCTGGATGGTCCACCAACCTAGCCTCATCATCAGCCTTCTTTTCCTTTGCGCAATTGACTATTTTCATAGATTTACCAGAATAACAGCCTTTGTCGCTGCTTGAGCAGCACTACCTGGTCTTTCTCTGTGAGGGATTTGTAAAGACATACTAAATGATTGAATTGATGAAGATATTGCTATGGATGTTCTTTAATAAATCATCAAAATGACATGAACAGCTGGCATTGGGTTCTTGAGTGTGAGGTTAATTTCGATGCTACTCGTGGCTTATTCCGTTGAGGGGCTGAGCTGGTCCGTGCAAATGCATAAAGTGCACCAAATGCATAAATAAGGTTAACACAAAATCATGTGAAGGTGAGCTAGTGTGATACCTACTCCACTTCCCCTCATTCTGTCTTCACTACAAGTAGACTTCATTCGGATTCCCACCCGGAACTTGTTCAACAATCATTATTATGCTTCACTTACAGCATTAGACCATTGAAACCCAAGATGCTATGGGTACTAGGAAGCCTTACTTTGGCCTCCGCCCTTCTTCCTATGTTGATATCCATAATGTAAGAAGCCGACTTGGAAAAAAAGCAAAAGAAAAGCAAGGTCAAGAATCCCAGCTGCCAACAGCGATTCCATTGGAAGACGTAGGTAGGCGCATCATATGAACATGGGGGAGAAGCTCAAGTACCCGTTCCGCGGGGTGATGAAGTGAAAAGTCTGTCAAGTTGGACTCAAAGCACCATTACCATCAGCTGGAAATTCCTAAAGCTGGCAGTGTTTCCAGGATCAAGGTCTATTAAAAATATACAGCTGCATATCTGAAGTTGTATCAGATTTTTTATTATCTATTGAATACATTTGCTCCATCTTTGTAGTTTTATAGGGGTCTATTAGATTTGTTAGAAAAGATTATATATATCTGATATTCATTTGAAAAAATCTAAAGTAATATCAAGCAAAAACAAAATAATTGATAGGATTACTATCATCCAGCCTTTTTCTGATCGGCGATTTCCAGAGCTATTGTTACAATCTATTATTTTAACTCTTCATTGGATAGAATTTTATTCACTTCAAGGCTACATGCAAACGCTCTACACTCGTCGTATTTGTCCGCGAAAGTATGAGAAAATTCTTTTTCTCTTCCAAATCTCTTTCACTCTTTCATTCTATCCATCTTCTCCAGCTTCCCTAAAGCTACTTGCAGAAGTTTCGACCCTGTCGCTATTGTTCTCTTTCTACATACTCTCTAAATTGCTGCCTCGCAATAATCTGCTCCTGTCCAACAAGTTCCAGATCGGAAAGACTATTGAATCTCCGCTGGTTGTTCTGACCTAGATAGATCTTGAGCCTTCCGCAAAACAAGATCTCTCACATTCGTTCTTGATTTTACAGAATCAAGTTCTGTGTTTGCCCTTCCATCTCAGACTTTTACAAGGTATGGAATTCCATCTTCTCAACTTTGCATCGTCTAGCATGCCGCACCACAGGATCTCAAAATTTCCATGCGTATGAATCTATAGATCTTTACAGGCGCTGATACGTGATGGGTGCAGAACGACACCTGTGAAGGTTATATAATATATCCCCATCATGGCTTTCCGAATTTCTAGACAGCAAGTCGAAGAAACCACTTCAGCACATGGTCAACTGTCAAGTCATCATTGCACCAAACTTCCGACTAGCCCTAATAACGCCACACTTTCGACGACCCCCCGGACTATCAAACAAGAGACCTCCCATAGATCAGCACCTCGGACGTCTAAAGGCGCCAAGGAATATCGTCTTTCTTCAAATCCGCAATACCAGATCGACACTAACCAGGACCTTCGAGCTCCCTATCACAACAGTAAGATAGTGCAATCAATCCTGACTTTGAGTCTGTACTAATAATGTGTTCGTTCCCAGATACGCACCATCCATCCGATTACGCCTATCAAGGACCCGATACCCGTGACACAACTCCAAGTATTGACGGTATGTCTGGTCTTCTTCGAATTGGTCTGGACTCAAAAGTCCTGATTGATGCTCTCAGTCAATTGGGAAATTATGATGTTGCACATATCGTCGATCTCCCAATGATTGCTTTAATTGGAGATCAAAGTGCTGGTAAATCATCACTTATCAGCCTATTATCTGGGATGTCACTACCGAGGGATAGTGGCTGCTGCACAAGATGCCCTGCCAATATTATAACCAAAGCAGCTGAGACTTGGTCTTGCACCATCTCACTTCGTCAAAAGTATGGATACCGCACATCAAAGACTAAACCCAAGGATCGGGATGTTACCAAGAATAATCCTTTCCCACCCTGGTTTGAGCAGGAACTCGTGATGAAGGAATTCATCAAAATCACAGACAAGGGAAAGCTAGAAGAAGCGATGAAATGGGCACAGATTGCTCTGCTCAACCATAACCAGGACTATGAACAGTTCATCCCAGAAATTGGCGCCCGTTTTGTGAGCAACAACACTGACACTGAAGCTGACGCCACACCGAATGTTGTGAAAGTCGAGATATCCGGTCCAGGACTACCCACCTTATCGTTCTTTGACCTTCCTGGTATTGTTGCTAATACTCCCACGATTGATCAGAGATATCTCATCAAGTTTTTTGAAAACATCGCCAAAAAGTGAGTATTGCTCTTTCTTTAGCCAAGCCTTATGTCTCCACCTTTAACTAGCTCAATTACATCTAACGTCTTGTAGATACATCCAAGCTCCCAATACTTTGATCATCTTCGTCATGACCATGTCTGTGGAAGCAGTTTTGTCGAAGGCAAAAGCCCTCATTGAAGAAGAACGTGCTACTAATCGTTGTATGGGCGTCCTAACGAAGCCTGACACACTTGTGGAGAAGGACGGTACTAAAGATTGGGAGAAGATTTTGAATGGGGAAGAGCATCGTCTGGGCCATGGATGGCGTGTTACTAAACAGCCTGGACCGGATTTTCAAGCGACTGGGAAGGATTTCCATCTCCAAGCCTGCGAGGAAGAGGAAGAGTTTTTTAGCACCAACGAGTTGTGGAAACACTCATGGTCTAAGTACAAAGACAAATGTGGAATTCCCAAAATTCAAAAATCACTTTCTCGCCTTCTTGCCGAATCAATCCGAAATAGGTTAGTGATAAGCTTCATTCTAACTGTTTAAGATCGAGCTAATGGTGTGCGTGTAGCCTGCCTGATATAAAGATGAAGGTTCATAAGCGTAAGGCTACCATCACTCAAGAGCTCCAGGGCCTGCCCGAGGTACCCAAAGAAAATGTGCAACTTCATTTAACTCGTCTTCTACGTAATTTCAGTCAGGATGTGGAAAATATGATGAATAGCGAACAAAATTTATCAGATACAACTTTCTACGGATCTTGGACCAAACTTTCTCGCCAATTTCACGAGTTGATATTACACAACAAGCCAAAGTTCATTCTCGCGGATAAATCGGATAGATTGATGGTTGAAGTTATCGATCTTGATAACGACGATGGTGAGACCAAGCAAGAGCCTGTACCTGAAATTTGTAAAAAACGCGGACACAATCAGATGGTCAACGAAGATAGATCAAATTCAGGCGACCAAACACCAAGTACTCCTTTGGGGGTCAAATCGGAGACTCCGATCCCTCATACTCCACGACCTATTGCCAATTACCGTCAGAATCCTTTCAGGAACACCATCTTCGAAAGACATGCAAATTACGGCTCAGGTTTCGCCAGTATTGCTGACATACGCTCACAAATAGAAAACCATACTTACATGGGTCTCCCTGACATGGTCAACACACCAGTCTACAAACATTTCTGTCAAAAGGCTGTTCGTGATTGGAAGCCTCCCGTCCAACAACTGCTTCATGGGGTTATTGGTCTGTTACGATCTAAGATTGAAAAGAGTGCGGATAGAATCTTGGGTCCATTTAGACAAACGGATCTATACAAGCAATCCATGGCTATCCTTCGAGAATGGATTGAAGAGATTTCTAAGGCACAGCGAGATGCACTCGATGAACTGTACGAGCTCGAAATATACAGTCCTTTCACTACGAACCAGGAAGAGATCCAGAAGACAAAACAAAGCCAGAAGTTGGATCTTCAAAAAGCTCGTCACAAAGTCCGTGCTGCTCGCTTTATCGATAAAGAGATATATATCAAATCCATAAAATTAAAGACGAAGGAAACCGACGGAGAAAAGGCCTGTCTCGCGGAGAAGAGGAAGCTCATAGAATTGGTCAAGCCTGACCAATTGGGTAAGGACAGTTTCCAAAATGAAATTGATGTCGCAGCCTATATCCGAGCATACTATATTGTGGCCGGTAAAAGATTCATTGATAGTACCTGTATCAGTATTAACAACCGTTTATTTCGCCGTGTCAAAGACAACATCACAGACCTTCTCGAAACCAGGCTAGGTGTTAATCATCCTCAGAATGGTAAGAGAATTCTTCTGCAACTTTTGAAGGATTGTGCTAACAAAAATAAACATAGGTCTCAACAGATGCGTAGAACTTATGGAAGAAAATTCCGAAATTGGTGTGAAACGTCGAAAGCTCCAAAATGAATTAAAGGAACTCGAAGCCTTTGAAATCAAATTTGAGCAGCTTATCAAAGATAGAGTCGGAGATGATGAGGATTCCAGTACCACACCTGCATTTGAGGAGGAAAATCATCGATCTGAGAGTGAGGATCCCGACCAATTGGGATACCGTCAACAAAGCCCAGTCTCAGAATTTTTAAAACGTCGCCGCGGCATGTACAGCTGTGACAATGAGATTAGTGAGGCTGAGAATGGCGATGGTTCACTAGCAGATCTTGAGGCTTGAAAAAATGCCACAATTTCTGCCATCACTTCATTACCAGGTCGCATCTGTTCTTCTTTAGCACCACAATCACTTTCTTGTCATATTCTAACGACATTTGACCTCACCCGCTGGTTATACTATGCAAGTTTACACACTCGCGCGATTCACCTATTCCCCTCTAGGCTTTTTTCACCACACAAATCGCTTTCTACTTGCAACACCCTCTTCTTCTTCAAATAAATTGCCTCGACCGATGTCACGCAACCTTTCATTCCCATCACATCACATCCTCAAATTCTTCACCACCAAGCAAAGTACGAGTCCTCCATTCACACCAACCCGATGATACATACATACACATACACATACACCTTTCCTCCCCTCTCCTTTCCTTTCATTTTTCAGCTATTTGTTTTATTTTCTTTCCTCCTGTTTACCTTCTTCCAAGGTTATTATGTTACGTTATTCATGTTATCAACTTCATTAATGATATTTCCGCAACAAAAGGAAAGCAAGCAAGCGAAGGAACCGATCAAAAAGGTTTCAAAATTGGAAAGAATTATAAATGGGATTTTTGTATGTATGTAATAGTTTATTTTATTTTATTTTATTTAATTGAATTATCTCTTTGAAACAACATGAATTATGATATGAATGAAGAGAATGAAAAGCTAAATAACAAACAACTCTATAAGAAGTGAAGTACCGCAATCGTAATCTCAGTTGTTTTGTCAATTTTCGATGGAAATTGAAATTGAAATGTTCTGCTTCGGGGTAAGGAGGTAGATTAATCTTACTTTGATTATTGATTTTGATCTGTGATATTTGATTTTCGATCGAGTAGTAAGATTAATATTTTTTATTAAAAATAAATAAATAAATATTGAATGAATTAAAATAAATTAACTAGTTAAGACTTATTACTATAGGTATTTATTATATAACTTAATTTTTTTGATCTCATCTTTAGATGATTAAGTCATCAAGTCCACACAGAGATATAGAGAGATATAAGAATAGCTAGTTGAAAAGGGTGAAATTCTTAATTCAGCGAATGTTAGATCTAAGAAGCGCTACATACACACAGCAGATAGAAGAAAATGGGTATATCATCTCGCTCTCTCCCACTCTTCGTTAAATTCGTGTGGAAAAAAGAAAGGGATGTCGTGATATCGTAATATTTGTGTTGTGAACCTTGAAGCAACGCCCTGAAACATTCCAGCTATGAGTATTCTCCATGCACATTGCAGTTCCGTTGCTCTCTCCATTTTAAAACGGCAGTTTAAAGCAGTATTCATCCATCCATTACTCCTCCGCCGCAGCTTCAGAATACATACCCATGTGACCAATATTCTTGTAACTACCAACTTTAGGTGCCGTATCCTTTAGTGCAGCCAAACTACCCGGAACAGGTCTAGGAGCAACATCATCTTCTTGCCATGGAGTACGACAATAAACACAAGTAACGAGTCCACCTCGCCTGCTAGCTTTCCATTGAGTAAAACAATCTTTGTGGAAATTTTGACCACAAGCTGCTTTACACCAAACAATCTCTTCAGTAGCGGGATCCATTTCAAAGACACAGATAGGACATTCGCTTTCGATAGGTTTGCGTTTGCCATTGTAGATAGTTTCATCTTCAGGCTCGTTGTGGTCATGTCCATCAGGGGCGCGTGTGACCGGCGCGTTAGACCAGATGTATTCGAGTTCATGAGATAGGAATGCTTGTTGATAGCAGAGATGCATTGGTGCTTTGTAGATGATGATTAATGCATCTATATTGAATTAGTACTGGACGCGACATGGAGTTTGAAAATACTTACAATTGATATGCTTGCATTTCTGACCACGAGTTCTCTGGTTTCTTGTCAGCAAAAAATGAAGCAAGGAAAGAGAGTAAATCACTTACTGCATCCATACAAGTACAACTAGGGGAACGTCCAATCTTGGTTTGATAAATATTACCAGTACTACCAGCAATATCGAAATCCTCACGTTCTCTTCCTTTTGCATCAACAACTCTCTGTCTATTCAACATAAACATCCGCTCCTTTCGAATCCGCTTAACCTTATCCTTAAACTTGGCATCAGGCTCAGGAATAAAGTCTCTCTCACGTCTCTCTCCCGTACGTGTATCAATATTCTGGTAAATGATAACTTCGGAAGCAAGTTGACCTTCAATCACAACATCTGGACTCTTTTCCCTCTTAGCTCTCTTTTTCTTGGGTGGTGCATCAGAAGTGGTAGAAGGGCCAGCTTCAACAGAGAGGTTGGGAATAATAGGAGCATCGGGTTCAGTGATCAATGTTCCATCACCGGACGCCCGAAGACGTGCTATCAAGTCTGCTTTCTTGCCAGTTTTGGGAAGTTGGCGACGTTCAAGCTCGGCTTTTAATTGGGTGACTAGACATTGACTCCAGTCAATTGCTTCGACATTCTCATCTCGTTCAATTGGGCGTTTAAGACGAGGCATGATGAGTTGATGGAAGGGTTTTATTATGGAAGGTATGATATATGGAGGTGAAATTATGGTAGTAGGATGAAATAATGAATGATGCGACCGTGGAATTGGAATGAGAACATGTAAATGAGAAGATGAAAATGAATAAGAAATCAAGGAAAAGGAAGATTTTCGATGGAATATCATGAATTACTTATACTTTTTTTCACCGAACATCGAAGATCTCCTCAATAGAAGACCAAGAACTTTGAAGTGGCACATACAAGATGAAATGTTTTTGGAATAATTGACAAAAGTGCAGGTGGTAGACGTGTGAGATGTGGCAATTGTGGAGGTTGCCTGAAATTACCCCACTTTTATCCAGGCAGAAGTGCTGGATTTGGCACGAATTTGGAACGAGACCTCGTGATTTGGTTGGTTTTTGGATGAGTCAGCCAGTTGTTATGTTAGTTGTGTTGCTAAAGTGAGTGAGGTTTGGAAGTGAACAAAGAAGAAATCATCACCACCGATACCTACCAAATGTCTTCATGAAGGGACACATTAACGACATTCTGTTATATTCACTTGAAATTCGCGGAGGAATTAAATAATTGATTCATCTTGTCATGTCTCAGTGTACTCGGAACTATACGTTTAGTCCGCACGTTGGATTTGTTTCCGCTATTCTTTTCATGCTTTTCTTCTCTTTTTCTTTTTCTTCTCCGTCCTCCTTCCACACTGTGACCGGAACTCTTTGTTTCAAGTGAACATTGTCAGTTAGCGGAAGTCCTTTCTCTATCCTTCCGCGCATTGTTATGCCAGCCAGTTTCTTTCAATGCTTTTAGTACAAACGAGTACTTGGAGTCACTGAAGTGATGAGTGATTGGAGTAAAGTTTGACAAACATTTTGATGATGACCAATTCTCCCAAGGCGGTCTGTCAACAAATATTTCGTCATGTAAACTCCTGGAATAACATTGAGCCTAATGAGCCACTCACAGCACATTCAACACTTTGCGCAAGATTATTCGTATTTTATTTCAAGGCGTATATTTTAAGGATTAACAATAGGTATTCTCCCTTGCCTTGAGGAGATTTCTGGATCTCTTGCCTTCAAGTCACTACTCTTCCTCGGCGCAACGCGTCTTTCATCATTTGTTGCTCTTGCCATTGTTGTTGCTGCTCATACCTCAGAACAAAACAAAAGTCCAACAGCACCAAGCATCCATTACCTGTTGTCAAGTCATCAGCTCTGAGTAAATTCCATTTCCAATCACTGATCCTCTATTAGAATAGAACGCACGAGACAAGTAATTACGGCGTCTTGCTTGTCCCTATGTTGCTTACCTCTTTTTAATTCGGCCAATTGAGCTTTGATATTCACACTTTGGTCAGTGAATCTCGCCAACAATTCTGCCACTCTTCAGTTATCAATCTAACCAGAATCCATTAGATATCTGATCACTGCCTAAACAGGCCCCTTCCTCACCTTGCCAGGTGGCCCATCAAGCAATTATGAACGATATAAAGAGGATACTAATATCTTCTCTACATGGCTCGGTCAAACTCCCATTAAGTGTGGATATAAATTAGACATTCATGCCAAATGGGTTTGCTAGAATTCATCTAATACCTCCGAATCAAGTTCATTTTCTGCTTCATCTTCTTCATCAATCTTTTCCTCCGCACCGTTCGCCTCTACTTCAAGCTCTAATACAATCACTTCTGTTTCCAGCTTCTCCTACACTTCAAAATGTATCAATTCTTCTAAAACTGCAACTCGTCTAAAGGAAAACCGCCAAGAAACCAAAAGTTTCTACCACGCAGGTTCATGAATTGACCGTCGTTATCATCAGTTTACCAGAGATTTGGTTAAACAAGCAAAGATTATCGCTGCTCGGAGGGAGATTACTTCAGGTTCCCCTTTGTCATTCGTTGTGTAGCTGAGCGAGCAATCCATGCTCGTAAACGATTCTTAAAGTAGTTCCAACAAGCTCGCCCTGAGGATGAGGCACCACATAGCATTTTATTGGAGTGCTAGAAACCGTTTTGGACATTCTAAAGCCGTGTTACGGAAGCTTCCAGGCAAACAATGGACAATTTGTCAAAGAGAACCTAAAGTAAAGGAAAATGTGAATATTCCAGCTAACATTTTCGTCATGTTGGACGTAGACGGTATTGCTAATGAAGACCTTGCTACTTCTAGAACCAATCTGGAATTTCTAAGCCCCCAACTAAATTCACTTCAGTGGAAAGATACGAGCTGGATGTGGGTCCTGAAATTGATGTACCCTCCTTTGCGTCTTGCTTTTTTGAAGGTTTGCATGAGAATCAAGACTTTATCAAAGATACTTAGAGATATAACAGGATACTCACAACTTTGTTGAGCACAATCCAATTCCTCCCATGAAATACGCCTGGCTCTCGAACATTCGCGTCAAGGGAGTTGATGAGACAGTCGAAGCTCCAGCCCAGAATATGTATTGTTCGCACCGAAAGGAAGTTAAAGTGGAAGTATCACGTATGGAGGGGGACCAACAATTCCAACCATCTCTGAAGCTTCATAAGGACCATACATCATGGCATATTCACGGGTCGTTATTCTAAGACAACTCATGAATTTTACAGTTTGACCCCTTTTCGTTGTTGTCATTACCGAGGTTACCTTACTATTTGCGTTGTAATGGATACTGACATCTCATAGCTCGAGCATTATTAGGTATAGATTATTCCTCTACAAACTTACCAAGATTTACAACATCGACGGCAAAACCAAATTCAATGGCGTAATGTCTACGATAAATGGAAACAACCAGACGTCTCCAAGCTTCTTGAACAAGCACATTTACCTACGAGTGACATGAAACTCGGAGGTTTCACCATTGCCTGCTCTATCTTTCGTCCCCAAAATATTAGCGCTCGCAAGTCAAAAGCTTCCAGCGTCGCAAACTAAGAAACTTTCAATACATCATTGTACCCCTATCCGAATCTTAACGGACTCCGAGATTTCTTACCAGGGAAGATGCAAAATATGGATACTGACTAAATAACAGCCATACGCAGATGTGATATCCTAATGGCACATCTTCATCTCACGCCACCTAAGCATTCACTCTCCCCTATTCTACGCTAAGACGTCGACTTTAAGGCTCTCTCTTACAACTACTTCTGTCCGATAAGATATTCATTACTTACTTGTACTTCGGATGATTTCCTCACTTGATTCAATTGTCTTTTTGATTACCTTGTATGTTTTATTTGATGTTTTTGTCGGATGGAAATAAGTAGATGGATTGAGATGTTTTGGAGGGAAGTGCGGAGCGGGATTTTTTGTATGTTTGGATTTTTGGGCTTTGACGGATTTAGAGGGCTGAGGTGTAAGGGGATCATTTTGGTGTTGTAAAGGGATGGATGGATGGATAGATAGATAGGAAGGGGAGATTTGATTTTCTGTATACACAGCTGCTTCACTTATCATGAATTCCTTATTCCTTTCGGCCTCAAAACATCTGTACTTATTCACAGACCACCTCCCAACTTTCCCGAGTTTAATCCGATAATCTTATCTAAGCTCACATGATCAATTCTTTTATTGGTAAGGAACACGAACCTGTCACCAAAGCAAACAAGAGCCTAACATTTTAGAGCTACTACCGCGTCGTCAAGGTTTCTATCCTACAATTTCTACAGTCTTCTCATCAAAGCTTCATTATCTACCATTTCAGGGCAATCGCGCATTTGTTTTGAGATATCATAAGTGAGATCTCTTATCTTTCATCTATTCTCATTTTTAATTGAGTTACGAAACTGCCAGGAAAAGTTCACGATCTTTTTGGCGCAAACGTGGAGTTTGCTTGAATATCATCCGCAATAATGCCTCCTCGTAAGTCGCATATATAACTTCCTACAGAGTTCTTCAACCTCAATATAGCTGGCTTCTTATCATAAATACTGGTCCCTGTTGAATTGGTATAACCACTTGACATGCGCTCACCTTTTACAGAAATCAGCGACGATGAACGATCGGTTTCCGATGCTAGCGAACAAGAACACAAAAATGCAGCAAAGGTTAGAAGCAAGAGAGAAGAGTCACCCGAAGAAGAGTTGAAGGTTGAATCGGATCGAGAAGCTGATGAGGGAGAAGCAGAGGGGAATGGACAAGAAGAGGATGAGTATGCGACGGACTTTCATGAATACCTGTGTACAATGATTAATGTGTCTGCAGATTTGTAGTTGAAAAGATCTTGAAGCATGCTATTGATGAGGAAGTAAGTGGATTTGTTTGTCGTTAGTATAAAGGTATCTCTAACACTTCTAAAGGGAGTCTTGAGATTCCAGGTTAAATGGGAAGGTTATGACAAGAAGTCGGATTTGACCTGGGAACCCGAGAAGAATTTGTAAGTTATATATGTTCCTTTAAATCTTTCTTGACTGATCTTGGATGCCTAGGGAAACTGCGCAAGACATACTTAATGCGTATCTCGAAAGCGTTGGTGGTAAAGAACATCTTATGGATCAATTCTGGGAGAAGAAAGCGGAGGCAGCAGAAAAGAAGCAAGGAAAGAAACGTGGTCGACCAAGCACTGGTGCCACTACTCCTCAAACTAATGGAAAGAAATCGAGAAAGAATGGGCATCCTTCTTCATCAACACCACCCGCATCCTTTAGACCACCAACGGGAAGTTGGGAAGATGATGTTGTTACGATCGAAGCTATGGAAGGGCCAAATGCGGAAGTTATTGTCTACTTGACATGGAAGGGTGGAGCCAAGTCACAGCATCCATTACATCAAGTATATAAACGTTGCCCACAGAAGGTAAAGCTTCCAAATTTTTATTGAGCGTTCTAAGCTAACGAGAAAAATAGATGCTCAGTTTCTACGAAAGACATTTGTACAAACCCATGCATATGACTCCCTTTTGTGTACCAGGCTAACAATGTCGCAGGGTTTTCAAAAAGACTGAAGAGGATTCATAAAAGGACTGAACCACGGAAAGTTGTTTGCACAAATCTCACATCTTTCATCTGATCATACTAGATCATTTGTCTCCAATCCCATGTGACTAATCCGTCATACAATCAATGTACCTCGAGCGTCCGCAAATTCCACGTTTCCTCGAACGTATTATCCTCCCAAGGATAGGCTACAATCATCTCCATCATTTGTTCCCGGTCCATACTTTTTTCCCTTCTTGGCACTAATTGTGCGTATGTAAAAGGCTTCTGCATACTCAGGTTTTGGTTTTGGTTTCATTGTGGTTGGGTTTTGCACTTCCATCTGCCTTTTTAGTAGCAATAGTTTGCGATTAAGACCATCAGCGAGAAGGCTTCAAGTTACTCAATTAATACCAAATGTGACCTTACCTCCCATGGCTTTGGTCACCATAGTATTAATAGCGCGTCGTGTACTCTTAGGAATAAAATGTCAAAAGGAATGACAATAAATAAGTTAATTGAAATGTGTCCGTCGGAAGGTCGGAATTAGAGATGAATATGTGTAAGGTGATTGATTGACTGGTTGATGATGGATAGTGAGAAAGTACGCTCGCTCTTGTATGTCTTTTCTTTTGTTTTCTTTAGGCTTAGTTTAATTTTGGTTTTATTTTGGTTTTGGTTGGTTTGGTGTCGTGGTTTGATAAGTATGGTAGTCTTATGCTGTGTTGTGTTTTGTTAAATCAGCTAGCTAGCTAGTCGATAGAGAATGAAATGGATTAGAATGAAAGTATGTTTAGTTGGTGTGTGTGGTGTATGTAGTGTATGTGGGTAGGGTAGTCTTGTGAGTTTCTGAAGTTTTTTCGTGTGAACGAGGGATTAATGAGGTTCTCGATATTGGCGGCGAGCCTTGATTAAGTCATCTATGGCCCATATATTCTTGCTAAAAGTGGTATTCGCTGGGAGTCAGAGATGAGTATAAACTACCTGTATGCCGTATAGATATTTCCATGGCGCTATGGCTCAATAACACTCAACTTGCTATCTCGTTTCCATAGGCAATCGCCATGGAGAAGAGAGTCAACATGACCAACAATTCTCAACAATAACAGCAAACCTCCCAAATGTCATCCGTCCGATCTCGAACATACACATTCACTCACGAGCACAGCTATCTGCACCAAGGTAATAAATATACGCCTATAATCCTTATCCTACACGTCGTCCGTCACCTAGGCACACGAGATCCAGGAGTTAAGAGATCTGATTTGGTTATGGATATCTTTGGCTAGGGGATTTCTAGTGTTATCTTTAGTCCATTAACCGTTTTGCAAATGCTTCCCTGGGAATATTTCATGGACGTGTTGTTTTTACTGGAATGGTTTAGTCTTCACAACAACGCCTTCTTTCGTGGTTGCGGAGATCTCGGTGGCAGAACGTGTTTGTTTGTCTTTTTCTTCGAGTTCATTTTGTTTTGTATACATACAGCTTGCTTTGCAGGAGCATTGAATTTACTTTGATATACTTGCACTTTTTATGATTTTACAACAACATTCATTTCACCAAAAATATGGATTCCCAATAGCTTGCTTGTTCTTTTGGTCCTTTTGCATTATCCACTATTGAGGTAATGTATCATGGTTGTGAAGTGTAATATGTGGAACGGAAAGCGCGGGAAACATAAGAGGATCGAGAAGTCCATCATAAAAGCGGATCAATTGCCCCTAGGCTTTCTAAAGCGCTACCCGTCGCACCTCCTGTCAAGCTCAATATCAAGTTCAGACCCGTTGCAGCAAATAAGAAGCTATAGCTTTGGAATTGCATCAGAAAGTTTTCGACGACATGTGCCCAGATCAAAGGATGTTCGATTTACGTCTTCAACCTATGGTCAAGTTTGATACAAGTCTTGCAGCTCGCAGACCTATGGATACAGAGACGACCTTGAGCGCAACACAAACTCAGCGACTCATGCACTGCTTTTGCCCGAGGAGCTGTTCGAGTTGAGTCTCCTGTGGCACTATCCCGTCTTAAAAGAAATAATAGCCTTAGTCCCAAAATATGTATCCATGGAAATGAAGTGTGTACTTCGCCAAGGAATTTAGATTTCTGAATGAATTTTATTTCGCTGCAAGGTTTGATGTTAAGGCAGGTACATGTATGTGTATCATACAAGAAATTCTGGGACTAATTTAGACTCAATTTCATAGTAATAGAAGCAGTAGTACAAAATTAGATTATAGACCTCCATCAAGGAAGACCCGCACAGTCGTAGAATAGACATGACTATCAAAATGAGCCCATAATATCTAAAAATATCTTGGGTTTGAACCTTGGCATAACTAACTCATCGATATTCATTTTACTAATCAATTGTACTAATTAGGCGTCATGTACAATATAAAATAATACTATTTGCGTATTTCAACTTCTGTGCGTTCCTAATTTGATCGAATATTCACGTGAGAATAGGACCGTGACATGTCACGATATGGCGACAAGATCAAGATTTAAACTTTGATATGAGCGGTGTGAATTTCCATCTAAGGAAGGATCTTGGGTATAAATGAGGAATGTGTTGAAATGTAGAAATTCGGCAATAGATGAAAGAAAATTGATGAGCCCCTGAAGATTTGCAAGGCTCAAAGGAATTTAAAGGAGAAGGTTGGGTTCGGGTTGTTTAAGCATCATGGGCAAGTTTAAATATTAACGTGGTGTACGGGGATAAAAATGCCGGGCCAGGGCATTTGGTAAATAGGTAGATAGGTAATGGTAGAAGATCCGGTGGATATGTCTGGCGATGTAGGAGGAAGAGGAGTTGGAAGAAGCTAACAGTGGCTAGGTGTACAACCTTGAGGTTCATATTCAGAATACAAGGCGATATTATCATTTTAGGGAGGAATTTCTTATCCCGCTGTACAGTGACTTTACATTGTCCTACAATGTCCGACGTACCATAGTGGCCCTTCTCCATTATGCAGTCGGCTAGAACCAAGAGGAGAGAGTTTGAAGTTTTTCATCGTAGCATACACTATACTATGACACTCGGCAGACTTGAAATAACATCCATTGGTTCATTGGCTTTGAAAGAAAAAAGTTGTGTGATTTTGTCCAAGGCATCCCTTATGAAAGAAGTTCCGTCTGTTCTCATTTTCCTTGTCACGCACTGATGGGTAAGAAGTCTAAGAAAACAATTCGACGAGATAAGAATCAAAGGAATTGAGCGTGCTCCAAGCTAAATCACGCATATTGCTCAAAGGCATTCAAGTACCGTCCTTGCACCGAAGAATGTTCTTCATGTCATTTAACTAATACACACTGTATATACTCCAAAAATACAGTCACTCCACCACTTAATGTCAGAATATAGATCCGGGCCGCCCGCTTTTGAATTGGGTAGTAGAACAAGGAATATATCAGAATAAGCTGAGGCGCCTTTTCCATTGACTTTGTACGTGTGGTTTTTACATTGCCTCTCCAGGTTTTTGAAAGCAACATTGGGTGCTATCACAAGGTTTGGTCTTTGATTCGCGGCATTTCCACCATTCTCGAAAATTTTGCGATCGAGTGAAGTTTCCATTGAGTTTATAGTAAGATACCAAGACCAAGGGCGTTCAAGCGATGTCGTTGAAAATCGTTAAGATTTTTGGCTGCGTGTGAGAACCTTTCATTCCAAAAAAAAAACGAGGCAAAATTGTCAATATGAATAATACAGGGTGTTGTGTTTCGGTGTTGTAAAAGCCTTCAGCACTACCTTCAGAACCATGGCTTGTGTCATATCTGGATCTTTGCTACGGACAACCTGCCGGCCCCAATATTGAGAAACTCAGCAGGATAATAAATCTCTTCTCGATGTGCAACCTTGTCAACATTGACACAGAACCCACCTCTCTGGAACTTCACTCTAAAGTCTGTTGAAATCACTCGCGTCAGATATTGGTTAGTTTGATGGCGATTTAAGTCACTTTTCATAATGTTGTCCATGACTGAGATACGTGACTTTTGAGGCTCTTTTGGCTGAGCCATTAACGCGAAGGTCTTTTGTTGGACATCCGCTCGAATGATACCACAGACAGTCCATATATTTTGAAGATTGGTGTCCGATGTCAACGTGACTTTCAAGCACTTGAGACTGGCCTTCATCCAATCTCTTCGGAGTTGATTCCTCGTATGTTTTCCTGGTCCCATGTAGTTGCTAGTCTAGTGTTCTAGGTCCGTCATTGGAAATATTGCTGTCGCAGTTATTAACATTAAGAAGAAGTTGCTTATCGCTAGTTCGCATCGAGCTGAAGAAGCTGGCTCTGATTAATGTAGAGCACATCCCCAAATGGATTCGCCGTATCGCTTTTAAGCTTTCTGCGGGCGTTGACAGGCATGCAATCTTATCTATTTTGACTCGGTTTATTCTTACACAGCCGTCATATATGATCGTCATTTCCAGAGTTTCCAGGGGCGCATTGGCCGGGGGCGCCAGGTCGAGTTGGTCGATTGAAGCTCTTACAGATTACAGTTCCCGCCAGTTTCATGTCGTCGCTGCAATCATTATAAAGGTTTCCTACTGGAACAAAGTGAAGGGAATCGTCAGAGGTATTGTGAGCTGCGCTTGGTGGATGAATGACCAGCATTACTTCGATCAGGGTGAGCTTTAGATCCGATTTAGTGATCCCTCGTTCTTTCAGTTCACCCCATACCACATTATATCTTCGGAGGTCTATATTCGGCTCTATGACGGTTACCTTGTAAAATTGACCTGATACATTGATCGCCATTTTGCTTCGGTTGGCTCGGGAGTCCTGTGATTTTCAGACCTGCTTTGACCCAGCCATCATGATTCCTTTGCTTGGTATCCTTACGTTGGTCCAAAATTTTACTTTTAGCTGCTGGCGAGAATCGCAGCACATTCAAAAGAGCTTGACTTACATTGTTTGAAGTAAGCCCAGGCTGAGCAGCGACGTTCTCTGACTTTTGAGATCGGATGCCGAAGAGTTGGATGCAGTATGACGAAATGCCGAAGGACCAGATGCTAAAGACTTAGACGAAGATGACTGTGCATTGAGCCTCGTTTGCTCCTCTTCTTTTTTCAGACTTCCCAAGAGTGAACTAAGTCTGGCGGAAGCAGAATTTGAAATGAAAAGACCAGACCAACATAGTGAAAGGAGCAAATTGGAATGTGCATGAACATTGATGGTCTTTTTCCATGGGAAATAATCAATTTTCATACCAGTTTCTCTTGAAAGGATATCTACATCGGAAAACATCTTTTGCTCAAATTACGTCACATCCTTGGCTCATGTTTGTTAGGCATTTTTTTGACTGATATTTCGAGTGGTCCTCAAAGCACCCAAACCCATCAGGTTGTGGGAAAGTTTTGCAAAATAATTTGTGCAAATCATGCTTTTCTCTTGGTATCCATTCCAGTAAAGAATAGCTACTATCACATAGTGGTAAGAAAGTGCTACGTGACTGGTGTTGAGATATCCATTCACAAGTTTAAATGTTGATTGCGAACATTTGGTAAGATATGACCGTCTGTTGGTATGCTTATAAGGATTTGGTGCTTGTAAAATTGAGACTCCTGCGAGGTATTGCGGGTTATGTGTCGTGTTTACCATGGTTTGTCCTTTCCCCCTTAGATGGACCCGCAAATTTCCATAAGCGATGCGAAATCTTTGCACCACCCTTTTCTCCAACAGCAGGATATTTTCCTCGATTAGTATAATAGAATTGCAATAATGTGTACTTTAAGTATACACAAGGTATAATTGATCAGGCTATGAGAGGATCAAATGATTCACGAACTGGCCTCGGCTTATCACAGCCATGGTGTATGTCAGGTAAACAAGTCTTCAAAGTGCTTATAACGACATGTAAAATCGCTGCCGAAGTAAACAGGATCGCGTAATGATTTCTTCATGCCACTGGCATGGATTATATTAATGAGCCTAGTCTTTATGTATTATATACTGCCGGACCAGTTCTTCTCTTAGAGCCTACACAGACTAACTTTGGCAATTATAACGAAATTGCGCAGTAGCTGTCTGAGAGATGATTCCATTCTCCACGTCTAACACGGCCAATAATTTTTTTCTAAGAAAATTTGCGTTTGTTCGTACACTTGTACTACCATATCTTAAGACTGGCAATACTCTTCTTTGGTCTAGCACCCAATATCACGACTTTTCCATGAGTCATTATGAATTCGATTAGGGATGAAAATTTCATCATCAAAATAACATCCTTGCTCACCCATAAAACTTCAAAGTCTAAACCTTGATGTCCATGGACGTTGAGACTAGAAACAAGGATCCTAGCCTTTGCAAGATCTTGTGCGGCATCCCGGTCAACAACCTGCATATAATCATGCATCAAGCAAGACTCTTAGTATGTTCAAAGCTGCCGATATGGTTACCGGAGCTTTTTTGTTTAACCTCGGGAATATGTTTTGGTATTGTAAGACTTCCAATTTCCAAATCTGCAACGAAGATTTACATAAAAATAGATAGCCGGTAATTTTCATATGGCGACTTGGATTTAGCTTTTCAAAAGGGTAAAGTGAACGTGCCGCTGCGGCAAAGAAGCGGAATGAGAATTGATGACATCTACCTCACCATGTGGTAGATCTGGCGTATTAATTTTCAAGGCGGAATTAGAGTTCATCGTAAGGTTCACTCGACCTCCTACGACACCTGCCTGCAGTCGACACTACAACTCGCAAGCGGAAAATTATTTAACCCCTATCTTGACTCGTTTGACAGCCGACCAATTCCGCGGTCAACAGCGTCAGAATCTCATTTTGTGAGTGGCCAAGAATGAGACACCAGGCAACGTTGTCATGCTCCAACACCTACAGCAAATCCGAAACTGCATTCGGTTACCATTGATATTCAGGGCCAGGACGGAGCTAGAAAATTCTGGATGCTTTGACAAGTGCGATTCTCGAGTCAGTCAATCCGAGCAACGAACCCATTTTGAAAGAATAAATAAATGAGTAAAAAAATATTCGAATGGAGTATTTTCATTCGCCCGGACAATTATCATAAATTTCAAACGGTTTTTTTCCCACTAAACATTCGAATCAAACAACAACACGACTCTTTCTCCCAACAGAAAAGGCTTTTTTTTTAACAATGAATCAGGATGCAATGCATAAGCATATGAACACCTTTCCCATCCGTCCTGTCCGAACTCGACTCCCTGATTACCCGATCCTTAGACGCATCGTGGAACGAATCAAAATATTCGCAAAGCAGAAAGCCACGTTGTTGAATATTTTGAGTTTGTGCTTGCTTGATTGATTGACGCTTGCATGCATATTCTAGAATATCCTCATTTTCGAACACCGGTATCCTTGAGATATCTATATACCTTGGCAACATCCTAACTCACATCTTGGGATTGACATCATTGATCTGTTCCCCTTGCCCTTTTGTCCCCGCAGAGGCACCGAGCCGCAATATAATTTTTTTCTTTGGCAACCATCACGATCGTGAACCTTATTCCATCTTGAATCTTTGATATTACGTTACCCCTTTCGAATATGAGAGGCCATAAAGGTCTGTTTGTATTAGTAATCGTCTTCTTCTTCCAACTCTGACACATCTCTGTCCACTCAAATCGCCAACTTCAAATCTAGTCGGTCATTTTTTCGGTATGCCCCACTTGAAAAACTCCTGCGCCCTGGGGAGACGGGGACATCATCATCTTTCTTTTCAAAGCGAGGTACCTCCCGTTTTGGATGTTGGTACATGACTACATTGCATGTGACTTAGATTTGTTGGTTGAAAAATCTCTGCATTGACCCAGGAGAATTCCGTTACCCAAGTGGAGCAATGCAATACAACAGTAAAAGAAAAATGTCTTTAATGAAATGATGATGGATTCCAGGAAGCAGGCTCCGAGCTGCATGTGACTTTTTATCTACGACGAAAATTCCAAAAATGTGGATATATTTCTTCGGCTTGATTTTCTTCTCATGCTGACTTTGCATAAGATATGTGCGATGCACACGCTGTGCACATTGCCACACTAGTAACACTACATCACAAGAACCTCGGAACAAAGCGTGTGACATGCATGGAGGGGTAAAATAACAGTGGGGATTCCAAAAGAATAAGGTGGGTTGTCCTACCAACAGTCAAGAAGTGATTGCCAGCGATAAGCTTCTAGATCTTAAGAGATCACGGTGAAATAGATGGAAATATCCACCCAAGGACAAGGGAGGAAGGTCTAAGAACCACACGCTGAGAAAAATGGAGAAGGTCGGGTTTGTGCTCCAGAAAATTTGAAAAGAAGCTCCAGTTTACGAAAACTGGATTGAACGAAGCGAGTTTGAGATCTGTAGAAAAAATTGGGTTGATCATCTGGAGAATTGGAGCTGATCGCTTGTCCAGCTGGGGAATTCTTATTATTCTTGGGGCTTCAGTTTCTGACATTTGAGGAACCCTGGTTATCCAGAAATTAATGCCTATCAGAATTGATGATGGATGATGAATGGGGATGCCGAAAATCTTTCCTATATCACAAGCTGTCAGCCTTGTGCTATCAGTTATATTTTTTAAAGAGATTTGAATGGATGAATTTACGATTGGCTAAGAATCATGACGGTTGGTTTCATATATTCTACTCGGTGGAAGATAGTGATGGGTCTCAGAGATAATCATGCAGCCTGCAGGTTTTGGAGATTACCGCCTCCTTCATTTTTACCGAAGATAAAATAAATTGAACGAGTATAGCCAAAATACCCTGAATATCATCTCCACTTGACTCAATCATTAACCACTGCCTAATGCAACATTACCACAAAAAATTCTACCCACTTCCGGTATCTGAAATCTGCATCTGCATGTGAGTATACCGGCGGGACTCCACTTTGCTAAATCTGTCTTCCCTAAGCTCGCTCGTAAATAGCTACATGTTCGTCGGACGTTGGTGCTGGCAAATATCATCAACACATCCACCTATTGTCCTTTCAACAGTCCAGCTGGCACACACATACGAGCTTCAGAGCTCTTTTGATAAACCACAACGTCTGTACATCTGCATCGCTCCATCTCCATCTGTACTCCAGCCCTACCAGCTCACAAGCAATCAAACATGCATTGTCCCTGACCATCTTTTTCTTTCAATGCGCCATCTTCTGCTATTTACCACTAAGTGGGACCTCTTTCTGCAAAATAGGAGGAAGAAAATGAAAAATATCATCATCACGGCCCTATTAATTATCGTTTTTATAGAATCGATAACCATTGTATTTTCCCAGACTTGCGAGTAGTTACTACTTTAGGATACTTACTTGATAAAAATACAGTGGCTAAACGTGTACATCTATGATCCCCTTCCCCCCTTGCATACATAGCATGGGCACCGCCGCTTCAGATCTGGAACGAAACTACATTGTATATCGGAATCCTTCAAATAGCAAGCCGGTTTGGTCTAAATTTTGTACGGAGTAGTCCAACGGAAAGGAGAAAAGATATGATTTTTCCAGAGCATCGAATTCCTTATGGGCATAGTAATGGTAATCTAAAGTCTTGGAAAATGATGCATCGCTTGATTCCGTCGCTACCGCTACCGGCACTGCTATGTAAGATTCTTTCGCTGCGTACCGGCGTCGGTATTTAGCTTTAGATTCGGCTTTTCTTTTTACACCATGTATGAAAGAATTGTGAGTGCCAATACTATGCTAGCAATGTAGACAAATCTAGTTCTAATACCGATGCGTAAAATTCGTAAGAAAGGCGTCCGCGCGAGATGTGAGGTTAGGTTAAAG